TAAACATTTATTCAAACTTTTTGGATCGGCGTAAAAATATATGAAAATAAACAACAATATTAATTTAAAAAAGGGTAATCTTTGAAAAGACTGTCGACTAGGGGTCGCAAATTTCGAAATATAAATTTTAATTTAAATGATTTCATAGGTGTTATATAACCCTCGCGCAAGCTCTAGCTATGAGCATGGGTGGAGCGCCTTGTGGTCCAGCCGGCACAGGCAAAACGGAAACTGTCAAAGATATGGGGAAGACGTTAGCGAAATATGTTGTGGTCTTCAACTGTTCTGATCAAATGGATTACAGGCAAGTTAACTTTCCACTGTTAAATTTGATAAATTTTATATCCACTATGCTATTACTTAATAGAATACAAATTTAAAGCTTTGCCTAAAAAGATATGAAATCATCAGGCACATCATGTGCCGTATAGGGGAATAGAGGATGGCGTATTAAGAAATGTAGGAAACTGATTTTGAAAATTAATTACTCGAGAGTCAGAATTACTATTATTCTGACTCATTAATGCTTGACTACAAACATTTTTTAATAACCTATGTCACAGTCACTATGTTTATCAATTAAACATCAATATTTCGTAATTTTGTACTTTTTTGCATAATATGGGTTTTCTGACTGCAAATTAAAGCTTGGACTTCATTGCTTAGGTCAAGATCAAATCAAAAAAATCGGCTCTAGTTCTTTACACTCATATGATCTCAGGCATCTGCATGGGATGGTGATTTTATGTAAAATATTTAAACTTAAATAAGTGAGTCATACAATACCGAAATCGATTAAATATAGTTAAATAAAAACACAAAATATAACTATTGAGCTATCTACAATGATTTCATTGTCATCGTAACTTATTGTTTCTGTCATTGTGCCATTCTCCGCTCTATTGAAGTCACCTAAGTGTCACTTTTCGTAGTGCAAGCGATACTGCACACGGTGTTAGGGAAGTCAGAGTCATCATTTGCTTGCCCTAGCTGTAATCTTCTTGTATATTTCGTTAAACAGTATCTTCTTATTTAGAGGTTTAGGTCTTAATTCTTGTCAATAGAATCCGGGATACGCGGGGCGTAAAGAACTTCCAGAGAACTTGAAGATTCAATTCCGGACTGTTGCAATGATGGTCCCGGACAGGCAGATCATCATTCGCGTGAAACTTGCCTCTTGCGGCTTCTTGGAGAATATTACATTAGCACGCAAATTTTACACTCTCTACAAACTTTGTGAAGAACAGCTGACGAAACAGGTATGTCTAACATTGTTATTGCTTTGTATTTTATCCAAAAGCGGATACTTCAAGAAACTATTACAACTTTTAGCTGATGCTAAGGAAATTTATCCTAAATATTTCTCTATCCTTCCAGGTGCACTATGACTTTGGTCTTCGTAACATTCTCTCAGTCCTCCGGACTTTGGGAGCTGTTAAACGAGTTAATACCAAAGATAATGAGAGTACTATCGTCATGCGTGTTTTAAGAGACATGAATCTATCTAAACTCATAGATGAAGATGAACCTCTCTTCATATCCCTGGTAGCAGATCTGTTTCCAAATCAAGCTCTCGAAAAAACTACATACGATTACCTGGAGGAGGCTATTAAAAAACAAGTAGACTCAGCAGGACTAATATACCACCCACCTTGGGTGCTAAAGTTAATACAGGTAACACAAAATACTATTCCAATATTAGAGTGAAACTATGATAAATAAAACGTCATTCTTGTCACAGTAAATAGGAAATATTAAACTTATTCCTTTGGGTTTATAGATGTTTTTTATTTTTCTAGTTATATGAAACCCAAAGAGTTCGTCATGGTATAATGACGTTAGGTCCTCCAGGTGCTGGTAAAACTACCTGTATTCACACTTTAATGAATGCATTAACTGACACCGAAGCCCCACACAGGTGAGTCACTACATTTATTATAAATTTTTATTTTTGTTTTTTTTCTTTATTAGCCAGACAATCACTCTTTACTTGCATATGAATAATATAGACATATTTTATTTGCTTTAGTCTCAAAACAATATTTATTGTAGAGAAATGCGCATGAATCCAAAATCCATAACCGCGGCACAAATGTTTGGTCGACTCGACGTCGCAACCAACGACTGGACGGATGGAATATTTTCAGCTCTATGGAGAAAAACATTGAAAATCAAAACTGGAGAACATATTTGGTTAGTTTTAGATGGACCTGTCGACAGTATATGGATAGAAAATCTCAACTCTGTCTTGGACGATAATAAGACATTAACTTTAGCAAATGGAGACCGTTTAACTATGTCTCCCACCTCCAAGATAATATTTGAACCAGAGAATATTGATAACGCTTCTCCAGCTACTGTATCTAGAAACGGAATGGTTTATATGTCCTCGTCGGGTTTAGAATGGGATCCAGGTAACATGCAACGTATAATAAAATTCACTTATTAAATTCTTCATATGTTTAAACATCAACTCTATTTCAGTTCTTCGTGGATGGCTCAAAACTCGATCCCCGAGAGAAATTGAAGTATTCACTGATCTATTCGAGCAAACGTTTCCTGTGGTCTACACATGGTGCACGCAAAATTTAACATTTTGTATGAGAGTGCTGCAAAGTAATATTATATTACAAATGCTTAATCTTTTGGAAGGACTCGTTCCTCAGCAAACGGCGGAAGTTGAAGAACCTTCGGCAAGCAAGTCGGTGAATGGCGACATTGATGATGAAGAAGATAAAGAAAAAGTCGAAGAAATCGTTCAATATACTCCTGAACATCTGCATAAAATTTATGTCTTTGTATTGATATGGGGTTTCGGCTCACTACTGGAAACGAACGACAGAGTCAGATTTGATAGTTTCATCAAAAATAAATTTACAGATATATTAGACATGCCAAAACATCCCAACAACAAACCGTCTATTATTTTCGATTTTTACGTTAAACATCCTGGAAAGTGGGAACTTTGGGATGACTTAGTTACCGCTTACCAATACCCTGATACTGCCTCACCAGACTATGCAAGTATTTTAGTGCCCATTACAGATAATGTGCGAATAAATTATCTCATTCATTGCATTGCCAAACAAGGGCGTGCAGTGTTACTTTTAGGTGAACAAGGTTCAGCAAAAACTGTTATGATGAAGGCTTATATGAAGAATGTGAACCCTGAGCAATTCATGGGACGTTCATTTAACTTCTCATCTGCAACTAGCCCATATCAGTTCCAAAAGACTATAGAAAGCTATGTTGAAAAACGTAGTGGTATGACTTTTGGTCCCCCTGGTGGTAAAAAGATGCTGGTTTTTATAGACGACATCAATTTGCCTCAAATAAATGAGTGGGGTGATCAAATAACTAACGAAATAGTTAGGCAAACTATGAGTATGGGCGGTTTCTACAGTTTGGAGAAACCTGGTGATTTCACAACTATCGTGGATATACAATTTCTTGGAGCAATGGGCCAACCAGGTATTTATTATAAAAATCACTAAATGATTTAAAACATCTTTGGATATACATATTTTACATTTTAATGTTTTATAGGTGGAGGCAGAAATGATATCCCTGCACGATTAAAACGACAGTTCGCTATATTCAACTGTCCTTTGCCAAATAATGAAGCAATCGATAAAATTTTCAAAGTTATCGGTGAAGGTCACTACAATGCAAGGCGTGGTTTTGCTGTTGAAGTGAGAACATTGATAAAAAAAATAATACCGTTGACGAGAGAGCTTTGGATGAGAACTAGACAAAATCTACTACCAACTCCAGCCAAATTCCATTACGTGTTTTCTTTGAGAGACTTATCAAGAGTTTGGCAAGGAATGGTAGGAACTCTCCCCACAGTTATTGAATCAGAAAAATGTCTAATGTTGTTATGGAAACACGAATGCTCAAGAGTATTTCTTGACCGTTTCACACACCAAAGAGATAAAGACTGGTTCAACAAAGCTTTATATGATATCGTAGAAGAAATATTAGGAGTAGAATATAAGAAGATGATGGAAAAAGAGCCCGTTTTTGTTGATTTTATGAGGTACCTGTAGTGGCTAAGAGTTTCTTTTTAACTTTCTCTTTTATGAGTCTGTGCTTATAATTATATTTATCAGAATATTGATATTCTAGAGATTAGGGTTGATACTTACAACTACGTAGCCATGGTCTAGTATAAATTCTTATAATTTTTCAGAGACGCGCCCGAACCCACCGGAGAAGAGGGCGAGGATACAGATATGGAATTGCCCAAAGTATATGAACCTGTATATGATTACAGTGAGCTAAGAGAACGACTTGATATGTTTTTAGCACAATTTAACGAGATGGTGCGAGGATCCGGTATGGACCTCGTGTTTTTCCCTGATGCTATGTTGCATTTAGTCAAAATATCAAGGGTCATTCGACATCCACGAGGAAACGTCATGCTTGTAGGTGTTGGTGGGTCTGGGAAACAATCACTGACAAAACTGTCAACATTTATAGCTGGTTACAGGTCTTTCCAGATCGCTTTGACCAGATCATACAACGTAGGAAACTTCCTGGAGGATCTAAAACTTCTATACAGATCTTGTGGAGTTCAGGGAAAAGGGACAACTTTTATTTTCACTGATTTGGATATAAAAGAAGAAGGCTTCTTAGAATACCTGAATAATATATTGTCATCTGGAGTAATATCAAATCTGTTCACAAAGGACGAACAGCAAGAAATCATTTCAGAATTAACTCCAATCATGAAACGTGAAAATCAAAAACGTACACTAACAAACGAGCTAGTAATGGAGTACTTCTTGAATAGAACATGCCAAAACCTTCATGTTGTTCTATGTTTTTCACCGGTGAGTTATTCCAATTAAATTCAATTCATTAATTACCTTGGAAATTTTAATTTAAGAAATTAGTAATCCTATGAATTATTAAATAATTAGGTAGTAAGTATATTTATATACCTCAAACTAAATCTATAACTCTTTTAGGTCAGTGAAGCTTTCAGGAACCGTGCAATGAGATTCCCCGCTCTTATATCAGGATGCACCATAGATTGGTTCCAACCGTGGCCTAAAGCAGCTTTAGTACAAGTTGCTGACCATTTTCTATCAGAATTTGAGATCGAATGTACTAAAGAGGTTAAGAAAGAACTTGTTACTGTATTGGGTACAATACAAGATGTCGTTTCCGGAGTATCGACGGAATATTTTCAAAGATTTCGCAGATCTTCCCATGTAACTCCCAAGTCTTACCTTAATTTTATAGGAGGTTACAAAACAATTTATCAAATGAAACAAAAAGAGCTTGGTGATGGAGCTTTGCGAATGGATACGGGTCTAGAAAAACTCCGTGAAGCCTCTATTTCTGTAGAGGTACTGAAAAAAGATCTAGCGGTAATGGAGCAAGATTTAGCTCTTGCATCAGAAAAGGCTGATCGTGTACTAACAGAAGTAACAGAAAGAGCAATGCAGGCGGAAATAGTAAAAAATCAAGTACAAATAGTTAAAGAAAAAGCGGAAGCGTTAGTGGCATACATAGCAGAAGAGAAAGAAAAGGCTGAAATAAAGCTAGAAGCTGCAAAGCCAGCGCTTGAAGAAGCTGAAGCCGCTTTAAATACTATAAAACCAGCTCATATAGCGACCGTAAGAAAATTAGGAAGACCACCACATCTAATTATGAGGATAATGGACTGTGTATTGATCCTATTCCAAAGAAGACTACATCCACTTATTCCTGACACAGCCGCACCGTGTCCAAAGCCATCATGGGCAGAATCATTGAAGGTAATCCTGGAATATAAAAATAGTACTAATCAAGGAGTGTTTTGAAAATTGTGAATGAAAATTTAAGTCGACGTAAATGAATTACATCCTGACGACTAATAAAAATAATTCCTATTTTTCAGATGATGGCTAGCACAACATTCCTGTTACAACTACAGAACTACCCAAAAGATATAATCAACAATGAAATGGTAGAGCATTTATATCCATACTTTGAAATGGAAGACTATAATATGGACACGGCCAAACGTGTCTGTGGTGACGTAGCTGGGCTTTTATCATGGACCAAAGCCATGGCATTTTTCCATAGCGTAAACAAAGAGGTGCTTCCACTCAAAGCCAATCTACTGTTGCAAGAAGCCAGATTAAAGGTATTTTTAAACATAAAGATGGAAACTATTTTATTTAAAAGTTTTCGAAGAAATTCGTTTTTGTTGGTTGTATGGTGATATACGACTGTATAACCTTACTTAAATACATTATTCTTCCAGGTGGCTATGGAAGATTTAGCATCAGCAGAAAGACAATTAGAAGAACGTGAAATGTCTTTACGTAAAGTAAAAGAACAGTATGAGTCTGCTGTGTCAGAAAAACAACAGTTAACGGATGCCGCCAATGTTTGCTTGAGAAAAATGACCGCTGCCACGGCATTGATTAATGGTCTTGGAGGAGAGAAAATTAGATGGACACAGCAAAGTAAAGACTTTAAGGAACAGTTGGGCAGACTCGTAGGCGACGTTGTATTAGCTACTGGATTCTTATCTTACTGTGGACCATATAATCAAGAGTTCCGGAATAGCCTTCTTGACACTTGGATGGGAATACTGAAAAAGAAGGAAATACCCGTTACTGACAGTCTAAACATAACCAACATGTTAGTTGAAAATGCAACAATATCAGAATGGACATTGCAAGGTCTACCTAATGATGACTTATCCGTACAAAATGCCCTGATTGTAACTAAATCGAGTTCTTATCCATTACTAGTGGATCCACAAAGTCAAGGCAAGAATTGGATCAAAAATAAAGAAAGCACGAATGAATTACAAATAACATCTTTAAATCACAAATATTTTAGAACACATTTAGAGGATAGTCTTTCTCTGGGTAGACCGTTGTTGATCGAAGATGTTGGTGTAGAATTAGATCCAGTTATAGATAATGTTTTGGAGAAAAATTTTATAAAATCAGGCTCTATAGAAAAAGTAATGGTAGGGGACAAAGAATGCGACGTTATGCCAGGTTTTATGTTATACATTACGACAAAATTACCTAACCCAGCTTATTCTCCTGAAATAAGTGCAAAGACTTCGATCATAGATTTTACTGTAACTATGCAAGGATTAGAAGATCAATTACTCGGTCGTGTTATTTTGATGGAAAAATCAGATTTGGAAGAAGAACGTGTAGCACTGTTTGAATCTGTTATGAAAAATCAAAGGAGCATGAAAGAATTAGAGAGTAACTTACTGTGTCGCCTTACATCATCTGAAGGATCGTTGGTGGACGACGAAGCATTAATTCAAGTCCTTCAGATAACTAAAACAACGGCAGAAGAAGTTAACGAAAAACTCAAAGTAGCTGAAGTAACCGAGAAGAAAATTATCAAAGCTAGAGAAGAATTCAGAGCGGTGGCAGGAAGGGGTTCTATACTTTACTTCTTGATTGTCGAGATGAGTAACGTAAATATTATGTATCAAAACTCATTGAAACAGTTTTTAAACATATTTGATAGTTCTATTACGAAATCTACCAAAAGTAATGTAACTGAAGAGAGAATAGACATTATCCTAAAATACTTGACACGCGAAGTTTGGGCGTTTACATTACGAAGTTTATATGAGAGGCATAAAGCCTTGTTTACTCTTATGTTGGCAATGAAGATTGACTGTCATAGAGGCTTAATATCACATGATGAATTTATGGCGTTCGTAAAAGGTGGTGCATCTTTAGACTTAAATGCCGTCACTCCAAAGCCATTCCGTTGGATTTTGGATATCACGTGGTTAAATCTGGTTGAAATTAGCAAGTTACAAATATTCAACGATGTATTACAAAGAGTAAGTTGTGAATTGCTATAATTTACATATTTAGGTATTTTTATAGTAAATAAAACTGCATGTATTTAAATTAGATGTTGTATTCAGAAATATAGTACCTGATATCATATTATAACTCTATAATACAGATATCGTCAAATGAAAAAGAGTGGCGCGTGTGGTATGAGAAGGCCAAACCGGAAGAAGAGACGATTCCTAATGGCTACCATGACAGCTTGGACGTGTTCCGCAAACTGTTACTCATCCGTTCATGGAGTCCAGACCGCACACTTTCACAGGCCAGAAAGTACATTGTTGGTAAGCACTTGTAGTCAACGCTTCAATGGAACCATAATTTTAACAGTGTCGGTTTAATAAAACATAATGTAATATAATTTAAATACGCAGACTCTTTGGGGCCCGAGTACGGAGAGGGATGTATATTGAATTTAGAAACGACGTGGGAAGAGTCAGAACCCCGCACTCCACTTATCTGCATTTTATCAATTGGTTCAGATCCATCGGCTCAAATCGCAACTCTTGCTAAAGCAAAGGAAATAGGTAAATGCGTAAGAATATGCTCTATGACTCCCACTGTTTATTCTGTTGTATACTTGTACTTGATTTAAGTATATTAAAACATTACTTTTTGTTTGTAGTTTTAAAAGCCGTCTCCATGGGTCAAGGTCAAGAAGTAGTTGCTCGCAAAATGATCTCGGATTCTATGAACGAAGGCGGTTGGGTCCTTCTGCAAAACATTCATCTGTCTCTTCCATTCTGTGTAGAAGCGATGGATGCTCTCATAGAAACAGAACATATACAAGAATCCTTCCGTCTATGGCTAACTACTGAAGTTCACACAGATTTTCCAATTGGCCTTCTTCAAATGGCTATTAAATTCACAAATGAACCACCCCAAGGAATCCGAGCTAGCATGAAAAGAACATACCAAAACATAACGCAAGACACTTTAGATTACTCTTCATTAACACAATGGCCACCGCTATTATACGCCGTTGCATTTTTACATACTATAGTTCAAGAGCGAAGGAAATTCGGACCTTTAGGTTGGAATATACCGTATGAGTTCAATCAAGCTGATTATGCAGCCAGCGTTCAATTTATACAAAATCATCTTGATGAAATAGATCCAAAGAAAGGCATATCTTGGCCAACTGTTTGCTATATGCTCGGGGAAGTCCAATATGGCGGTCGAGTGACAGACGATTTTGATAAACGTCTTCTGACAACTTTCACCAACGTGTGGTTCTGCGACGTTTTACTCAGGCCAGGATTCGAGTTTTACAAAGGATACAAAGTGCCGCAAACCAGGAATTTGCAAGGATATGTAGACTATATCAATCAACTGCCTTTGACGGATACGCCAGAAGTGTTTGGCTTACACGGTAACGCTGATATAACATATCAGATTAATAGTGCAAAAGATATCTTAGATACAATATTGAATGTACAACCCAAGGAAGGAGGAAGTCAAGGCGGAGAAACGAGAGAAAGTATTGTGTACCGCTTGGCTGAAGACATGTTGGAGAAATTGCCTAAACAGTATATAAGTTTTGAAGTAAAAGAAGCTCTACAAAAGATGGGGGCATTTTTACCAATGAACATTTTTCTGAGGTAGGTTATGTTACCGAATTGTTTTTAATTATGTTGTAATTAAGCACTAAAGAAAGAGTCAATTATTAATTACTCAAAGACAATCACAATTATATTATAAAAACAAACAAAACATAAATTTTTAACTTTATCTCTATAAAGAGAATTAGTCTTATAATTTGTAATTGTTTGTACTCTTATTCTTTTTAAACCCCGACGCAAAAACGACGGGGTGTTATAAGTTTGACGTGTCTGTGTGTGTCTGTCTGTGGCATCATAGCTCCCGAACGGATGAACCGATTTTGATTCTGTTTTTTTTTTATTATAATTTATTTGAATTTGCTTTGTTCGTTCAGAACTATTGTGAAATTAATGATATGGTTTATGCGCTGTTTTAAAGGTCGAAAACGATTTACGACTAATGCATGTAAATATAAGTAACATCATTAAACATGACTTTCACAGGCAAGAAATTGATAGGATACAGAAGGTAATAAAAACAGTCAGCTCAACTCTCTGCGATTTAAAGTTGGCAATTGACGGTACAATAGTCATGAGCCAAGGTTTGCGAGAATCTCTTGATGCTATGTATGATGCTCGAATTCCTCAAAAATGGTTAAAAGTTAGTCTCTAGATACACAATGAATATTCAACATGTTTTGCACCATTTTGCACATGTTATCTAGCAAATATTGTCACAATGCACTGACTCACTTAGGCTTTGCTTTGTTCTAAGCTAAGCTAATTAATGCTTCCATCTGTATACCATCGGCATTGATTTGGTTTATTATATGCCTTGATACAATTGTAACGCGTCACGTTCCCCTGAACCCAATAGTATCATTATAGGATGTAGTACTACTTTTTTTCCATAAAGGCTTTCGAGTCTCAGTAGAGGTGCGGGAGTGAAAAGCAATGCGTAACCATATCACTAAGGAGATCGAAACGGAAATTTCTATTTTCGTTTAACTTTCGTGCCATGCAATATAAGTTGTAAGTTGTAACTGATAAGTTCCTTATACCTATAGTTTTTGACAACCCAAAAGAAATCATGAATGGTTAGTAGATAAAAAAGGGCTTCCTATAATACTCGACGACCTCCTTAACCGCACCACTACACTCACATGCCGCTTTCAAGGGGTTATTCCCAGTCATCAGATCGGTACTGCGATTGGAAGGACCTGCAGGAATTATTTAAGGTGTCGCAATCCTTGAGGCTTGATATCTGGTCGGGTCAAGTCCTTAGAAAATGAACTTTTGCTATCAGTGTCGTAACTATACCGTTTGAGGTCCGTGGTAAATTTATCGGATATTCAATTTTTTTTTTTTTACTAATTTCGTAATAAAATGTGTCGTGAGTAAGGAGTCCTTCTAAGCTTCTTGCTATATTGTCTTGGGACTGAGTGAGTTATGTAGTGGCACCTTCGTTATTCAGATTTCCATAGAACAAATGCTTTAGCTCTTTAATGTTTAAATTTTAATAAAAAATGCAATTTAATTTAACAGTAGTTTGGTTTTTTGCTGATTTTGTGTCCGATTATTTTATTCCTATTTAACAGCTCTATATGGTTAAGAGGATTTCATAAGACTATTTATATTTTTGTAGGTCTCATGGGAGTCAGCCACACTCGGTTTTTGGTATACTGAGCTCCTAGAGCGCGAGCAACAATATAGAGTGTGGCTAAAAAACGGTCGGCCTACCACGTTTTGGATGACTGGATTCTTCAATCCGCAGGGCTTCCTTACTGCTATGAGACAGGTTTTATTTTGATCCTGTATTGTTTTTATATTTAAAATGTTCCCTGGTGAAAATCATAAACAGCACTCATATAACGGTACTCTTCATAGTGCAGTAATCTTGCAGCTTTAGCAAAGGAATAGGAAAGCAATTAATTTTTCGTTAAGCTGTTGGTCTTGACAGCATTTGCAGTCTTTATCGGGTGATATCGGATGAATCCGCATTAGTCCACGTGGTGTGGTATGGTATGACCCATTTCTTTGTGATTCTATTCATGATAAGCTGATGATAATGACGAATTATTATACTGTTAGGGCGCTTGTGCACTACACTGAATTTTCATGTCCGGCGGTCCGATTTTTGCAGGTCCGATATGTCAGGCCATATGTAGGTAATGCGCGCTTGTGCACTGTCAGGAATTTTACCGTCCGGAATTTTACGTTTCTCTATTCCGGACCGGTTTTTTCAGGTCCGTGATGGCGGCAATGAAAAACGCTTGTTTACGCTTGTGCACTGCTGTGTCCGAGATCCGGAAAATTCATAAGGAATAGGCTTGGGAAAAAATAATCGATTTGAATGGATATTTATTTCGGCAATATTGTTAATTTCCAATAAACTTATAATCGATATTTATTGTTGATTATAAAATTATTGTTGATATATTTTATATGATGATTTAATATAGTTGGCATATATCACTGCATAAGCTTTGGCAAACTCGGTAAAGTTCTAATTTGATCAGCGTATGGTTCTAGTATCGATACTTAGCTAGATTTTAGAATCGTATTAAAAGTATCGATAGCTTAAGGTTAGATAAATAAGTGTTGTTACGCTTAGATGCCTTAACAACTGAACCCATCTAAATGGAAATTAATATAGTAAATAGACTTAACTTTAAGAAAGTACATAGGCTACATTTTATCGCGAAAAATAGGGGATGAAAGTTTGCCTGGAAATTTGTCATTATCAAATTTTTTTAGACAATTGATAAGTATAGATAAATATATGACAACAGAAGTAATAATAAAGAATAAACAGAAGATTAACAAAAGTAATTAAGTGACACTCAATGTCTTTTCGCATTTAATAAAATTTTAAATGTATGTTTGTGTCATTAATAAATTAAAAAAAAAGAAGTATTCTAAGGGAATAATATTTCTGCTCAAAGAAACTACACCACGCGTATAAAATTATGCCTATAAATAATACAGTCAACTGATCTCGTAAAGTTCATTTAGCATAATAATTTTCCGCTAACACGGCACTAATTTCGATTTGTTTACGAAATGGCGCCACTGATTGGTCTATCTCTGTAATCGCTGAAAGTTGTTTTTACAAAACTTCGAAAAAAATAGCACATTTAAAGATTTAAACATCAAGTATTAGACCATTATCAGTAATTTTATTCTAATGGCACAGATATTTTTAGCTATTGTATGTGAATAATGCTGTTCCTAAATTAGTTTTTAACAGGGTATAAGTTTTTAGATCTGATAGGAGTCATCCAATAGTAGTAAAAAAAATGCTTTCGTCTTGCCATAATTTATTATGGTTATGTAAAACGATCAGATCATTATTTAGGTACCTTTCTACGTCTTCGAACGGAATTACCGACGTTTCAAAAATCTCATCGTATCTAGCGTAAGTGACGTGTAGCTTCTAAGAGAGCTGCCCTACACTGCGGCGCTTCGATCAGGAAAAAAACGGACAAGTGCACAAGCTACACATCCGAGTTTTTCATGTCATTCCGGACCGGAAAAAATCGGACCGCCGGACCTGAAAATTCAGTGTAGTGCACAAGCGCCCTTAGGCAATGATATATTAGATGGATAATGATAAATCAACAAATTATATATTAGATGGATAATGATAAATCAACATGGGTATTTCAGGAAGTTACCCGCAGCCACAAAGGTTGGGCTTTAGACTCTGTGGTCTTGCAGAACCATATAACCAAATTCAATCGTGAGGACGTCCACGAGGGACCAGCTGAGGGTGTTTACGTTTACGGCCTGTTCTTAGAAGGTACTTATTTTAAATGCACAACCGATTGACCGTGACGTCCAGCATGACTTTAAATGCACATTGATTCTCGTCAAACGCGACGAAAGAGGCGGATTTTTCACAATATATTCAAAGCTGTACCAGTGAATGTAATTGAACATTGACATTACCTCTGCATTTGCACAGCATATTTTTGTAAATTTGAATTTTTGCTACACAGGTGCTTCCCTTGACAGAAAATCTGGCAAATTAATTGAATCAAAGCCGAAAGTTCTGTATGAGCAAATGCCAGTAATCTACATCTTTGCTATAAATACCACCGCTGGGAAAGACCCGCGTCTATACGAGTGCCCCATATACAGGAAGCCGCAGAGGACAGATGCGAAGTACGTGGGTTCCATAGACTTTGAAACTGACAGCAACCCACGACATTGGACCTTAAGAGGTGTTGCACTTCTCTGTGATATCAAATAGAAACATTGATATCACCCTTGGAACCAAAATCACATATGGGATTTATAATAAAGTTATTTTCAGATGATTTACGTTATTTGATGTACCTAGTCCTGTTTAGTTTTCCTTTTTTCAAAGTATGTTACTCTGGCAGATAGCGCGACATAAGGGTATTACAGTCGCATGTCTAAAACGCATAGGTATGTATATGTGAATACGTTATAACTACACGCGTTCATCCGGATTTGTTCTTCATGTTTCCAGAACTTGAATTAGTGGCACAAACATTGTATAAATTTTTAATGATAACATTTTTGTGCATGAAAGTCAAGAAAATATGAAGGACAATGCCGACGGAGCGGGCAGTTGTCCTACCCCACACCCATTGCTGACATTCAACCTATTCCCACTAAGTATTTTGCTAGTTCATATTTAAGCGAACCGCTATAGAGCAGAATATGCATCATGTTCTTGTATTCCATAGGTAATAATTACAAACTGACCAGTGCAGAATACTTACGTAATCCGATTGAAAAAATGTTACTAAAGTGGTAAAAACATTATTAAAGAAATAAGATAAAGAAATATTTATATATTTAAATAAAATTTTACAAGGTAAATACCACCTTCTTCAAGTATGCAAACGCGAGGATGAGGGTCACAATACAAAATTTCAAAGACGACACCATAGGACTAGTACAAGACGTCACGCGAACTTCCCCACAAGTCTGCCTAGAGAACCTTCTTGATTTCGTCGTATAGAACTAACACAAAAGCACCGCCGGTTCCTCTTAAAACGTTGGAGAAGGCACCCTTGAAAAATGCGCCAGGTCCTTCAGTTCGGAGGATGGTGAACCAGCAATGGATAGTGTTCTTATAAGGGCGTTCGTTCATTGGCCGACCCGACTGCATCATCATTCGCCGTCGGACTGTATCCAGTGGGTAGGAGGTGATACCCGCAATAGTCGTCACAGTCTGTGTAGTTATAATTTAATTAAACAAAAGAGTTAAAATAAACTACAGCATTCATCTATGTAAGTCGAATAAAGCATGTTTACTTAGAAGCAAAACGTTTCTTGTGAGAAACTTTAACTAAGAATTAGCCAGTAGGTAATTATGTTCAAATCATCTGAATTTCACTGTTTGATTAGTTTGAATTGATTTTGCGCCTACACGCAAAATTTTGCTAATGCATCAGAACACGTGATGCGTGCCGAAAGACGTGACTGATCACTGACATGAACTAATAAGTATTGTTTTGGAACAGTAATTCTATCCATATTCACTCATTTCCCATACCCATACCCGCTTGAAAATTCGTAACCATAGACACAAACATAATAACCTGAGCAATCATCCACGTGACGAACAGCGACGTGTTTTTGGGGTCGGGTAACATCGCGCGTGCAGTGTCAAAGAAACCAAAATATGTGGCGCGATAAATGATAATGCCTTGCACAGACACAAGAAAGCCCCGGTACAAGCCGATTGGGCCGTCAGACTTCATCGTCTTCATCAGGCAATCGATGAGACCGTTGAATTCCTTCGCCTTACCCTTACCCACGTCCGCTGCTAATCTGTGATTCAAGAATACGTTTGCATTCAATAAATGATTACGTACTTGGAAATGGAAAGAATGTTTTTGTATCTATGAGGAAATTAATGAAGAGATAAGAAAAACTGTTGACCTGAACTATAGGTGTGGTGTCGCGTTGGAAATAATGACAAGACTAATATAGGTACAACGCGAAAGTGGAAGCATGAAGAAGTTTGGGAAGGCTACGACACACTTTTCACGACCAAATCGATCACGCGCAGTTGGAAGGTGATCTCAGAAGTCGTATAAACCAGCAAGAAGTAATAGGAAGAAAGTGAAGTAGGGTAAAGATGAATGGAAGGACCGTGCTTGTGCCCGATACGGCGTATAAATATAGATAGATCATGAATATGACCATGCATAAAAACTTAGTAGCAACCCAAATTGTTGCTATCAATAACAACGTAGTCTATTTTACATGTAAATTTCAATATATTCACCTTGTTCGAGCAAAATCCAAGGGATATACGAAGCATAATGAGGTGGCCCCGGCAGCGCCACCCGATGCCAAATTACCAGCGAAGTACCTCCAGAAGTTCTTGTTCTTGTCCACGTCTTTCAAGAACATACCCTTATACACGTCCTTGAAGGCGAAATTTAACGCCTGCGTGGGGAAATATCTGATCACATTCGCCAAGTTTCCTCGCCATAACGAACTTAAACCTTGCTCCTTGGGTATACGAACGAATGCATCGACTATACCTGCACAGCGACAAAATAAAGTTTAAACCTGTCAAAGAAATTATTTAGATTTTTGTTAATAAACTTCATTTACTTTAGGCGATGTCGCCACCCAATCAACGACCATAGTTGTAGTTACTTTTTCACACAATTGACAAATTAACATAAGCCTGGTGTTACATATAATACAAACCATCACTTCGATCGACCTGTAAATATATCGTAAATAAGATCGTATGTTTTGTTTTTAAATTCGAAGTCAGAACTCGTATCACAATCATACCACCTAGGTATTATTTCTAATGATTATTTTTTATAAAAGTAAAGGCTCTTATTATCTTATATATAAATTAAATTAAGTCTTCATGCACAATAAATGTGTATTGGCGGACTTAACGCCTCAGGCATTCTCTCTCAGTCAACTTTAAGAGTGCTGTGGGAAACCGTTAGTGGTAGGGCGCACAATTAAAAAAAGTATTAGTACCTTTATACCGTTTATCTTCTGGAATCTGTTTAGATATATGTTGCACTTGTAAGATCAGCTTCACTCGTTCTATGGGCGCGACAGCTGTCTTTGACACTGCAGCTGATATGCCACCAGCTATGAAATCTTTTAAAAACGCTGAAGAATCGTGACCTTTCTCTTCTTTACCTTTACCCTTTTTCTTGTCCTTATCAGACATGTCGTATTAAAATGTGGACACGACTGATTTAACAAGATACTGGAATGTCCCTAAACATTTAACACGATACTTTGGAATCCAACTCTGTGAGTAAGTTAAGATGTATAATACCTTACTCGTTTAACTAACTGTACTTCTTACAATTGGTGCAAATCTCATGGCGCTGATAAATCTATTCTAATAGGAATTTCACACAATAAGAAGCCATATTTCATTTCCAGCAAATAATTTTGGTATCTCACTATGACATAATATTAAGACATATGAAAAGAAGTTTTCGAACATTTAAAATTAGAATCATAGAGTATATATAAGAAGATTGCATAAATGTCTAATACTTTCGCTAAACCAGGCGCAACCGAATTGTCTTCATTAATTTTCTAGCAAGCAATAAACAATAGCTTGGGATAAATTATAATTAAAGAATGTAGACTAATTTTTTTCCTCCCGTTAAGAATAAGATAGATATTTAAATTATTCACGTATTTTTTGCGCAGTGTCCCGGTTCAAAACCTAGTAACTGTTTTGGACTAAATTTTACAGGAGAGCAAAAAAACTCTTTTTAGGGTAGCTCTTTTAAACTATTTAACACCTGTTGAGAAATTATTATTTACAAGGAGTAGTTTGAAACTGTTAATTTGATATATAATTTTTTTGTCTAAGTTTAATTCTACAAATTTTATGAGCTAAAATATTTTTAACAATAAAACGTCTAAGTAAAAATTGACTTCCAAAACCATTTCAAACCTAGTAAGTTCTCTTACTAGATTTTGATCTGGTTTAACATATTAGCTAAAAATCAGCTTATCCAGATCAAAAGCTAGTAAATTCAAATTTATACAGCCATTTACACATGTATTTGTGTTTCATTAGGCGCCATTCATTTGTTTTATTTTCTTCTATTTGTCCTATTTACGTCACCCAGTATTAAATATGGAAAAATTGAAATATCGTGTTATTTACGAGTACGAGTTCCACCATGGTACCAGTGCTGCGGAAACGGCTCGAAGGGTTAATGATGTGTATGGCGGTTGTGTCGTTAAGAAAACACAGTACGTTTTTGGTCCCAACGTTTTCTGGAAATTTGGTTCTGGAAATTTCGAGCCTCATGGACGGCCAGAGACCCAAGTTTATAATGAAGAATTGAAGGGTATTGTGAAATCGGATCCATCGAAAACCACGTCCGAGTTAGCTGCAGGTTGCGGTGTTAGTGATAAAACTGTTTTAATCCACTTGAAGCAAATTGGAAAGATTAAAAAGCTACCTCACGAACACGAAATACGAAAGGTACCTCACGAATTGAGAGAAGCAAACCGGTAAACGCGCTTCGACTGTGTTTTAACTGGCACAATAATGAAGGGTTTTTAAATCGAATCATTACCTGTGATGAAAAGTCGATTTTCTACGATAATCGGAAGCGCTCATCGCAATGGTTGGACCTTGGCATGCCAGCTAAATCCTGCCCCAAACGAAAATTGACCCCAAAAAAGTTACTTGTAAGCGTTCGGTCGGGACTAGTGCCGGTGTCGTTCATTAGAGTTTTCTCAAATCTGGCCAGACGATTACAGCAGACGTCTATTGTCACCAAGTGCAAACCATGCTGGAAAAACTAGCTGTTAAACAACCGAGGCTGGTCAATCGCTTTACGCCACTGCTACTTCACGATAACGCTAGACTACACGTTGCACAACAGACGGCTACCAAATTAGAAGAGCTTCAATTGGAATGTCTAAGACATCCACCGTACGCCCCGGACCTTGCTTCAAAGATCATCATTTTTTTCGAAATTTGGATAACTTCTTGCAAGGAAAAAAATCAACTCCGATGGGGCAGTGCAAATCGCCTTCAAAGATTTTATTGATTCCCGTCCGAATGGTTTTTTCAGTAAGGGGATCAATGACCTACCTATGAGATGACAAAAGTGCATAGATAACAATGGTTTATACTTTGATTAAATAAATATAGTACATATATTAAAAAATATTCGACTTTTTGTTGATGCTATACCAAACACCAATTTCATATGGATAATTTCAGATGAAATGTCACACCTCTGTACATATTACTCCTGTCCCGTGTATTTACTCCTGTCTATTACCGACGGATTAAATAGCCTTTCCTTTAATTTACCCAGGCAGGATCTCTAATTGTGTCATAATCTAATCTTTATTAAAGACAGGCACGGATCTAGGAGGGAGCAAGTAGGGGCACTTACCCCAGGCGCCAAAATCATCATTATATAATACCTATCTACAGTTAAAAGACTTCATACTCATTATAGGCTAAGATGGGATGGGTATGTTAGGCACAATATAAAATCAGACTTCACGGAGTTTCCGGGGGAGGAGTAGAAAAAAAAACGTAGATCTGGCCCTGAACCAGCTGCTTATACAGAGCAGAATGAATCTATAGTCATCTGAACAAGAAAATATATATTATAAACACAATACATAAAATTTACTTCTTAGTATTTGATTGTATTTAAATGCGGCTAGTGTGATCAGGCGCGGATTCAAGGTTTGGTTGACGGGATGGCAATCGTCGTTCATTTTAAGCTGCCTGCATTCGCCCGCTTTTAGTTCCTTAATGAAACTCCCTTAGCTGTCATAGAGAAAGAATATTTAGAACGATCCAGTAGTTTTGGAGCCTATTTCATGCAAATAAACAGATCTTTCCTCTTTATATTAATACAGATAAAGAGGTTTACCTCCTACACTACGTAACTGTTTGTCCCTATTCACGATGCTGTACTGAAAAATATGCTTAATGAAAAACGCTTCAAAATCCACTTTCTCCCTGGCAATAAGTATTAATTTTCATCTTTATTACATACAAGTTTAAATATTTGGACAAATATTTCTTTCGGCTGTCTGGGTGGACTGCCTGAACATTAATGAAAATACGCTCTGTAGTAGCGAAAAAGTAACGAAGTGTTTGAAAAATTCGACAGTCCTGTTAAGGTTCTGGGTAGCTCAGTGGCTATAGCAGTCGCCCGGCTTGCGAAAGGCCGTGGGTAAGAGTTCCATCTCAGAATGAATCTCAAAGTGGATTTTTTAAACATTTTTCATTAAGTATCTCAATTTACATAAAATCTTAACTCGTACTCTTGAAACTTAGACTCAATACTTACTCAATGTCAATTAGTTCATTCAATTACCACGCAATTTTAAGCCCATTGGCGCTAGTGTACCAGATCATGTGTACGGATCGACCCAGTTTGCGTTGGAGAGTAAGCAATAGTAATGTTCGTGAATAATAATGGATTTTACTGTCGGCTCTGGATGTTCTTCTTTCATCTTAGATGTTTCAGATCATCGTAATAGGGACGACAATTTTTTTTAATCGTTTGTCAGGTAGATTATAATTTTTTTGCGTTGAAATATCGCATGACGTCACGGGTTTTAGCAAAATTCATATCTAATATTTTACTATTACATGACTAACAGACAAAATAGAATTTCTTTTCTTTTACCCATTCGTCATCCGTATTGTGATCTGAACAACGTATGTGGTGTTGTCTAACAACAAACTAGACATATTACCATAACATGAGACTACATTAACAAAAAAATTAAGTGAACGTGTTCATACGTCCCATGCGTCCTTTAGGTACTGACAATTTACAACTTTATCATACCATTATATACAAAACAAAATATTGCTAGTTGTACAAAGAATAATAAAATACAAAAAAATATAATCTAACATATTTATTGATTCATGTAAATTTGCCTCGGATCAAGCATAATTTGAGGAAGGATCTATCAGTTGAAACCACCATAACAGAAACATCTGAGTACATACATACACAAATTAATTGTACACAAGTAAATGAGAAACCGCTATAGTTACATTACAGAAGTACATTGGCTTGGATATATTCAGCGCATTTAGTGTGATAAAGAACTAATACCGATAACATATGATTATCAATTGTGAATTATTATATATCATACATTTATAAAATAACACATAAATATTACGAAAATTTTACGTTACTCTGAATTGCGTATAAAAAAGAAAATTTTAAAGCAATACCACGAGGTTTATCACACGTGAAAATATTCGTCAAACGTAATCCAGAACCCAAAAAGAAGACACGTTATTATTTTCCATTTTTTCCACATAAGTGTAGTATAAAGTATTATGTATTCCTTAGGGGTAAGTAGTAATAACACGAGTTAAGTAATCAATACTTAACTCGTGTTATACGTACAATATTCCCTTTGCTGAATAAATAAATATTAACATCAATCATGTTATAGTATACAAACAAGTAGATTCCCTATAATAGTCTTACTGCTGGGTCCTACGAATAAACTACAGTCAATTGTTCTAATTTTAAAAACCATACATTTAGTAGTCATCGTAGATTTATTATATTATATAAACATTGGTTATATAAAAAGAGAAAAAGAGAGAGCGTATGTTAGACAAAGCTGGATAAAGACAAAGATTCACGTACGAGCTCTGGTCCTAGAGGGTTTTGCTGTCCAACCAACCAAGTTTCTATTTCTATTATCACGCATTTTAGTAAAATAAACCTTAAACAGATAAAGCATCTTTGTAAAAGAACGTCTGGGATAAAGCTCATTAAAATCAAATATGATATGTACTATAATATTAATAAACTTTATTGACCTACTATGAGTAACTTTTTCTTCAATCTGGTTTTGCGCGGTTTAAACTTGATACGGAGCGATGATCTTAATAATATTCTTTTGGGATGGGATTCCTTGGTCAGAGTGGACCCGTGATTCCTGGCTCTCTGTTGTTATTCGGTTCCACAGGCACCGTTTTACGAAAATATATATATTTTTGGAAATCGATACTATGTCATATAAACGTAAATTAGTATTAACAAGCAACCAAACAAAAACCAAAATCAATAAAATGTAACATTTATTTCTATTTGTAAAAAAAAATTACAAATTTAACAAAACTCCGTGTATATTAATTTGAAATATGGTGACATATCAATAACACGCTTTCGATAGTGTCTTTCTCTAGAGAAATCACGCATGGAATGCCCTGAATTTATTTTTCTCCTAATTATTTTACGAATGAATATTAAAATAAAAGTTGCTTTTGATACTGTCGGTGATATACCACTGCATCTTCATATATAGCCTGTATGTAAACATTGTCTTTATCAAACATAGGCGCTTGTTATCTATTATATAACCATTTTTTTATAATATAATAAAGCTATGGTAAAACCAGTCAATCACCAACAAACTAATGAACGTTCAATACTAATTATAATAATGTCTTGTTTGGTCGGTCTTTTTTAACATCATTAATTAGTATATGTCGGCCCTAAATGAGTCTAATTAATGTCAATTTGTTATTAAATAACACAAATACATGTACAGTTTCGCCCGTTAATGTTAAACTTGAATACATTAAGAGTTGAGTTCTAAGTATACTCAGAAAATCTGTAAATTTTTGGAGACAGATGTTGATGTATCCACATATTTTATTACTAAAGTTCATAACCCTACAGTTATACTAAGTACAATAATCTACATTGGTATCTCTTTTACTCGAATATATAAATAGATAAAAAAAAGTGAATTCCAACAGAAAACAATTTCACAAAAAAATAAATACAAATCAACCATTAATTTTGAGGCCAAATAAACGAGGCGACAGTGTACAAATGTCAAAAATTATTATTAATTATAATGCTATCGGAACTAAGACATGTATTAGTTAAGTTATTAAATACACAACTTTAGTTGGTACAATTTAACTAGTATTTAATTATATGGTAAGTTACACGTAATACTAGTAATAAACCGGATTCACTATGACGGCCGCTGCACCAGTCTCTTTTAGGAATCTCCGATTTGGTACCACACAAGAGTATTTAACAATATCAATTGTTAAATATTTTAATTATCCATTAAGCGTCCTCTAATAGTTGGAGACAACCGTACAGGATTGATAAAAGCGCGATTGGCGTATAGCGGTTTTGACAATTGGTCATAGAGTATTTTCTGGCCAGCCTGATATATTATTTAAACCAAGCAGAAAAACAAAAGAATCAAAACCGTAAAGCCACTTAAGTTTCAAAGTTGGTTCTGTTATTTAGTTATATATTATTTTCTATTCGCATAAACTAAAGAAACAATTATTTCGAAAAAATAAATATTTTAAATGAAAAGCTTAACGATTTCAGATTGTATGAAACCATCATATAAAGTATGTCATTATTTACACATATTTATGATTAAAAAAATTTCAAACACAATTATTTCATTAAAAAACAGATTTATCACACATCAGGATAAAGTGCATTTCATGCAAAGCGTCATTAAATTGAAACCCGAGGGATACTGAAATATACGATTAATGAAAAAGATACTTTAAGACACTGAACATAGAGCTTATAAACCACAATTTACCTAAAAGCAGACTGCCCGCAGCGCCGTTATCAACACTATGCTCTGATAGGCATTAGTATCACATTCCATTAATTGTCCATCACACACTGATCGAATCGACTATCTCTCTTTACACATTTAGTTATTTAAAGAAAACATTTAACACTAAATACCTACTATATGATTATACTGCTGAAGTGTTGCCAATATTATAATGGTTGTTTACTGTATCGGATCATTGAAATATTATATACAGTGCAGGTGAATAATCAGTGCAAAAAAAACCCTACAATTTGGTATCATTATTAGACACCATTTTTCTTTACACAAAATTTAAGCCCCGATTTTATCTCATTTTTAACAGCACATCCTTATCAGAGTATGTAAGTTAAATCCACAAATAATCTTAACCCCCTATGATTACGTAAGCATTGATATATACTGCAACCGCTAGATACTGCAAAAAGAAATCGGAAATAATAAATACATTTTGCTCACGTAAACATCACCTTACGGCACGTGTGTCAATAAAATAGACGTTGCAACTCACCCCGTTCTTATATATTAATAGTTCAATGACCCCTATGAAGTTGACATTGTAAACCTTTCCTAATCAATATTACATATTAGGCCAGTTAGTGAAACCACGAACTACACACATGTATTACACATAAACATATATATGTACACGAATCAGGACATCAATTTAATCGAACGTTAATAAATCGATGTCGGGTAGATCTTCAAAAGCAAGATACCGATCCAAAACTATTTTAGAAATATCATCTCAACGTAAGTGTCGACTAGTATTTCTATGTAATGTTTTAAATTCATTTATATTTATATCATAATCGATCACTATAAGAACGGGAGCCTTAGGGTAGGTACACTGTATACGCACACCTAATCTCTTGCACAGGATAAGCAGGTAGTTAAGTAATACTACTGAATGTTTATTGATATAATTTTCTTCTTACACATAAATCGCAAGGTTTTTCCATGCGTGTAATCTGACCAAAGAGCTCAAACTTTTAAGATCTACCCGTCATACATTTGACATAACACATCGATATTCACGAACATTTGTAAACAGCACAGATTATAGAAACGTATTTCGAATTTATCATTTTTATCTACTAACATGATCGGTAATGCGGACACAAAAAAAAATTCAATTGTTTTTATCCAATTGGCACAAATACGCATTCGAGGCGAAACGTTGGTTACATTCAAAATAGAGCCTTAAGCCCACGTCGTAAGTGCCAATGTGCGGTGTAATAGAGATAGTCGGCCCGACAGCACTGAATGTCACGCTGAAGGGTCGAGTAGCGTCTAACTATTTGCGAATCTTCGCGGCGTTATCAGCGTTCTCCTTTAAGATCTTAGATTTCAGATGATCCTTGTATTTCAATATGCCGCCCTCCCATTTCGTGACGGTGCCGTTCTCGCATATCCAGATCTCTTCAGCTACCTGTATACCAACCAATATACGGAATGGTCAGTTTGTTACAATTATCTTACAATCTACATATCATCAATTATATACCAGGACTGCAGATGATAATATATAAATGAAGCCAAATAACACAATTTATTTGTATGTGTATGTTTTGGTTATGTTTTGTTGTGTACACATCCACAATAAACATTAGTATTTAAGCTGTTAATTTACTCATTAACAGCAAATACGCACTATAAGAAAACGGTTTTACTAACACATTCTCATAGTTAATATAAATTAGTAAACAGATTGATAACTCCCTCAGAAAAAGCATATTTAATTAATATTTAATATTCATAAATTGACAAACCACCGCTTTTTACTATAATGCAGTACAGCATTTCGAGATATATCATCAGCGAATGAAATATTTTATTAGTGAAAATAAAATATTTACCTTAAAGTACCTATATAATTATGAAGAGTTAGCTATTTATGTTTACTTAATTATCTATACATATGGTATATCCATGACCGCAGATTGAACAGACTATTCAAATTCAAATTTTTACTTATATACCTGGTTGATAAGTCTGAAGTCGTGGCTAACAAGCACCATGCCACCATCGAAATCATTGATGGCATCAGCCAGAGCGTCAATGGTTTCCATGTCCAGATGATTGGTAGGTTCGTCCAGAAGCAGAAGATGGGGTGTTTGCCACGCGAGCCAAGCGAACACTACTCTGCATCGTTGACCATCTGACAGTTGACGCATTGGGCAAACCTGATTCATAACCATATATTTTTTAATATTATAAACAAATTATAAATAATAATAATAATATGGAAGACCTACAGTGCCCAAAATTTCATTAGATTATCAGCTCTTACGTATCAAAACGTGATCAGATATTAAAAAAGAATGAGAAATACTTATACTAAGATAATTTTAAGGCCCTTTTTAGGGAATTTAATGATTTTTCTTTGATAGATAATTTCTGTTGGTGGAAAGATAAACGTTGGTGGAAAAAGCAACAATCACTTACTTGTTGCCTTCCAGTCAGACCGTAGCGGCCGATTATCTTGCGCATTTCCTCACGTTCGCGCACCTCCGGGAACTGTTTCATCATATAGTCTAGAGGAGACAGATCCAGGTCCAACAACTCGTGAAGGTGCTGATGGTAACGTCCGATACGCAAGTGAGAATTCTTCCTGATCATGCCAGTTGACGGCACCAACTAAACAAAATAGGTAATTCATTTGTATAATCGGCAAACATTTATAGCATAATACAGGAAAACGATAAAAAGGAAAATACATTTGTAGTGCGAGCAATTCCTGATAGCCTTTTTCTTTGATTTGTAATCGATATGCAGAAATGAAACTCCCCATCAGTGTTAATTGTCGACCAGTATAAATAAACGAGTCATAAAAACGGGTATCTATGCAAGAAACTAAATAGATTTTTAGATGCTTCTAAGGAACCATAAAACGGCATAAAATGTCACATATATCAGTCAGAGTGTGATCGACTAACACTCTATGTTTCAAGCAACAGGATACAACATAATAAAAATACTTGTAATGTTAAATTAAACATAATTTAAAAATATTGTAATGGATTCCTCACATCCCCATAGAGAAGTTTGAGTAACGTAGACTTCCCGGCACCATTGGGTCCGACGAGAGCGAGCCGCGTGTCCAAATCGATACCAAATTCTAAGTTCTTGTAGATCCAAGGGCCGTTGTCTGTGTAACGAAACGATACGTTCTGGAAATAAAATATACTCTTTAATGCACTCAAAAATTTTACATGAAACAAGGAAGGCAATTTTGTTATAAGGGTGGGCCCATCTCCATAAGAAATCTCTTCCAGCCAATCAAAGCAATCGCACTATAAATCAGACTGTGCACACCGTCCTAAAAACAAGTTTTCCGAAAGTTCGATTACTAATAAAACATCTAACTAAATATCTAATCATTTTTTTTAATAACTCAGGATTATTATTTTTATTCTAATTAAACTTTTTTGAATTGAAGTTATCACATAAATAATTTTTATTATATAAAACAAAATTTCACAAGTACATGTGATGATATTTTAATAACGTTTTAAGTTAATACATTTTCATTTCATTAGAATATTGTTAAATAGTTTATCCAAAAAATCTCATTATGTAAAAAGAAATAACGCTCACAATTTAGTCAAATAAAAAACAGTCTTATACAGACAGTAAGTCTGTCTGTTAGTCCGTCGGTCCTTTGAGTTTTATGTATTAGACTAACCTGCACCATGATGACAGGCGGTGGCACCTTCCCGCATGAAGGGAAATAGAAGTTGAGTATTTTATCATCAATGACCTTCTCGGTGAGACCTTGAGACACCATCTTGGCCAGAGTCTTCTCTTTAGATTGCGCTTGACGAGCCAACTTGGCCGAGCCGTGTCCGAAACGTGCTATATAGTTCTGAATAAAGAAATTGAAATATCCCATTTTAATTTTATTATTTTTACAGTCGGTTGCACAAACGTCCATTCAAATTTTCGTTAGTTACAGTGACTCTACCCATACAAATTTGACATTCCTTAGAGCTTAAAGGCGTATTTAAACCCAATTGGACGTTTGCGCAACTGACCAAGGACAGCAAAATGCCCAGTTTACTTTATTCGAGGCGAGGTTATTACTTTATTCAATAGCTTTGTGAATTTTTTATTTTTTTCATGAGAAAAAATTAATGCACTCTTCTCATATTTAATTACAGATTATTTGGATATCATTTCTTTGTTTACACAAAAAGAGTTGAAATTAGCAATTATATCATTATGAACGTACGCGTATTTTTTTTTTAATTTTCAACTCACAAGTTGTCTACTAATTAAAGCCAGATTTTAGTCTAGTATACCTTCATGTGTGCGATCTGATCCTGCTCCCAGTTGTACTGCTTCATCTGGTTCTCCAACTGCTCCATACGAGTTCTGACAAACGCTTCATAGTTGCCGGTGTAGTATTTGAGCCGTCTCTTGCTCATGTGGATAATATTTGTGCACACCCCATTCAAAAAGTCTTGAGAGTGGGAGATCAGCACCAAGATCCGTTTATAACTGTGCACCAAAGTGTATCATGAAACTTTAATTAAGAAACCTATGCTATAGGATTCTACACCGGTAGGGGCCTGTGGTAATTTTCAATTTTGTTCGCTTTCCGTACCAGGTATTGAACGTTTCGATCTATATATTATTAACCCTCAATATATCGAATACAAGTAAATAATAAATAACTCTATTGTTACTAATATGTATATTTCATATATATTAGATAAGGATTAACAGACTCACTGTTTCAACTCTTCTTCCAGCCACACACAGGCGTCCAGATCGAGATGGTTGGTCGGCTCGTCCAACAGCAGCAGATGCGGCTTTACGTATAACGCGCGAGCTAGCGCAATACGCATACGCCAACCTAAACATTATTGAAAATACGACCACTTATCGCCTGTACCTATCCAAAAATATACTAAAATTTCTAGCCAATAAAAATGAAATAAGTCAGGTGTAAGAATACTCAATTTTATAAAACCTAAACTCTTTTATTTTCCACTAATCGGTTTAAAAAAAAATATCATAACAGAATTTTAATACTCATAGCAAACATTTTAATTTCCTATTTATGCAAAAACGAATAATTCTTTAATTCAATATAAGTCTCATATTTAATATTGATGCAAGTTCTGCAGTCCAACACATATATATTTTCTCATTTTCTACACACATTAATGTTTACAGACTAAAAGGTTGATTAAAAACAATAAAAATTAAAATAAATAAATATTACCTCCAGAGAAGTCCTTAGTAGCTTTCTGCTGCATCTCCTTTGAGAACCCGAGACCGTGCAGTATGTGAGCAGCACGAGCCTCTGCGGTGTCCGCACTGAGATCGTCCAAGCGATCGTATACGTCCATGAGTTGCTCTTGAGACTCTAAACAAAGCATAAATATAGGTTAATAATTAATTTTCATTAGCTATAAATTTGCTTTTTATATTTAAAACAATAAAAATTATGAAAACATAATCAATTTCGAATTAACAATGCTACACTGAAAAATATTCTTAATGCAAAAAGGATTTAAGCATTATTCATTAAGAATAATTTATTAACATTTCCATGTTTCTTTCTTTATATTGTGGTAAAAATGTGGACATATTAACATAAAGACAATTATTTATCTAGATTTATATACAAAGATGTACGGTTCGTACACCTTTTTATGATAGAGAGAGAGAAGTAAAAGTCTTGATATATTATAATTGATATATTGTAACAAGTAAACTAAAATTACTGATATATGGAATGATAATGATATGAGTACGCGCGGCGTGATTGATTACCGATGACGAACTAACTACAAATTGACCTAAATTAATGAATGTAGCGTAAAATGATTACTAGACAAAACTGTACGAGTTGGCTCGTACATGTTCCCGGGCCTGAGATAGGAGAGGGTGGGAGTATTAAGAAATGATTATGAATGACGTGCGACAAGATGATATACATTGTTAACTTATTCTACTAACAAGGTGATTAAACAATATTCTCTTAAAATCTTTTAAAATTAGAGTGAGAAATGTCTGGTAAACGTCGGAGACGTAGACCTATCTTTTGATACCGACACACGCGCACTTTTTGTTTTTACACTATTCACGATAGCACTTTCACTGCACTGATTATTTGAGCTATCTTTACACGCACTAACTACACTTGCACAACACTGAACTGAAGAAGGACTAGCATCGCTAGCCAGAGTTGCGTCAGGCGGTGGCTCAGGCGCCGTGCGCGCTCGCGCCAGGCGACGCCACACTATCACTGCACCCACAGTCACTCCGGCACCCAGTACCAGATATATGACCACGTAGTGATGAACGTCGTGATAGGATATACGTTCGGCTAAAGTGTCGTCGTTCGCGTCAACTTCCAAATTCTTTATCTTCTGCTCTATTTCTTTTATATATCTTTGATGATCAGAAAATGATATCGATGTCGATTCTATGTGATCGACAGGAACTGAGATATTTAAAATGTGATTGATCGGCGGAATATCGATTTGAAGGACATTCAGAGTCTCATTCAAAACATTTGATAACTCGTCTCGAGAGTAAATTGTAAAGGTATTCGATTTAATTATACATCCATTACTTAATGTTATTATTCCTACTTTGTATAACTTTGTAGCGGTAACATGATCTTCACATATGATCCGCACGTTACAATAATTGCAACAGAAAAATAGATAATTATTAGTTTTGTGAAGTTCTACCCATCTATCTTGACATAATGCAGTGCTAGTCTTACATTGTGTAGAATTCTGATTTTTAACACATAAATCGTCACTTGAATCCATATCAAATACAGGTTGCTTTAATGAACATATAAGTTCGCTATTAAAGACATCGCAGCTTTGTATAGCTGAATGCGTCATACGAATATAGGTATCTTTATGTAAGTTCATTGCTATGTAATCTGATATTGGCGTTATTGTTTTAATATTATCTTCTAATTGCTGTGGAATAGGTATTAGTTTGTAAATTTCGTAATTGTCTCGACTAACTAAGGGAATTTTTACTTCAAATATGATAAAGGTTTTCAGGGCTCTCGCTTTTACACTAAGTAAATGATACATACTCGAGAGATCTGTCTGAATGTTGTTTATCGGCAACGTTAACTCCTTTGATAATAAACTTGATATGATACTAAACTCGTTGAGTAGCTGTTCTGGTGTGAGAAGGTGAAAATTAAATCTTCCGTGGTAAGTATCCGTAATAGAATCGATTAAAGTTTCTTGAATATGTCGCAAATTTACTATGAGATTATTGGCGATAACAGAGGACGTAATAAAATCACTGGAGTACTCTAAAAGTTGTATCTCATCTTCTTGTATATTCAGTGCTTTTTCTAAATTATTTAAATGAGTGTTAAAAACTTTATGTTGCTTGTCGATGGTTTGTTCTATTCTCTTGATCAAGTTAAACTCGGCTTCCACTATCGAAGTTTGATTTTTCCATAGGTTTGCTAAGTGTTTCTGATTATATCTAAGAAGCTCTATATCTTTTTCATATTTTTGAGCGAAGTCACTATCAAGAACTCCGAATAGCTGATTTGCAATGTTTCCGATCCCATTGATAAGACCGCGGCGGAGTCGCGTGCGCGCACTCGGCTCACGTCCTGGGAGCTGCTGACCGAGCAAAACACTGTTGTAATGCTCGAGCTCGGTGAACCCGTGATGTAATTGGAGTAGTATAATGTTGCATTGTGATATCTTTTTATTGCCGGTAGTGAAACATGTGTTTTCAAGGTGATTTATATATTTACTTAGTAATGCTGTTCCCGTCCAATATGGAGACAAATCATAGTAAATTACTAGTTTCCACTGGTTTCTCTCAATACGTACATTAGCAATTTTATCAAAATATACACTTTGACTGGTATTTAGGTTGGATGTTTTGTATCTACAGAATGCTGATCCACTGAATGATAATATAAGTGTACATATGATGAATAAGTAATTAAATAAATTGATACTTTTATGAACTTTTCTCGGTTTCCCTTCCACTGTTGCGGCTGCTGTCGTGATATTTTTTACTTTTGATTTCGCAGTACTTTCTTGCTGATTTGGCTGTTCTTCGGTAGCTACTGGTAATCTTGATATTTTTGTAATTGGCCTTTTGATTATACCGTTTTTTGTTTTAATTGATACAACTCGCACATAACCGTCACTTCCGGGATGTAAGGCTATGATACGACCGAGTGCCCATTTTCCTGGAGGAAGGTTAGCATCGTGTATTAGGACTACATCATCAACTTTGACATTTTCTTTAGGTTGACGCCATTTGCATCGAGACGATAACTGACATAGGTACTCAACTTTCCATCTTTTCCATATATCGGTAAATATTTTCTGGGTTAATTGCCATCTTGTTCTCAGGTCTCTCTCGGTTTCTATGATGGTTAATGTGGGTCCACTTGACAAAAAATGAGATGGTGTTAGATAATCGATATTTTCAATGTCTTCAGTCAGAGAACATAACGGTCGGGAATTTAGACAGGCTTCCAATTGCGATAAAAGGGTTGAATATTCTTCGTATGTTAAGTTTTGCTCTCCGATCACTCTTTTGATGTGATATTTCAGGCTTTTAACAGCCGCTTCCCAAAGGCCTCCGGCAGTGGGCCAAGATGGGGCGTTAAAATGCCAATTTATTTCCATATCTGTGATGGCAGTGAAAAAATTATTATCTAATGTCGATTGCAAGTTAATAAATTCTTCATTGAGACTGCGACATGCACCCACGAAGTTTGTGCCGTTGTCGCTATAGATGTTGCGAGGGGCACCTCTTCTTGCCGCCATTCTTCTCAACGCTGCTAGAAATGATGATGAACTTAAATCTGATACTAATTCTATGTGCACAGCTTTAGTCACCATGCACACAAACACTGCGATGTACCCCTTGTTTGTTTTGATACCTCGGCCTTTGTTGGCTTTGATATTTACGAAGCCCGTGAAGTCGACTCCGCAGTTATAAAATGGTCTTGTTGGAGTAACGCGAGCTACGGGTAGGTCACCCATCATCTGACTATGTTTTACAGGTTCGTGTCTTTTGCACGTTACACATTTTCGAAGATGTTGTTTGATTAAACGATTTCCACCTATGATCCAAAACTTTTGTCTGGTATATGATGCTGTTAGTCTCGCTCCGCCGTGAAGACAAGTTTTATGATAATGATCGATCAACAGTTCTGATAAACGGCTACTTTTCGGTATGATAATGGGATGTCTCATGTTTGGATTGATATTTGCATTTTTTAATCGTCCTCCGACTCTAAGGAGACCGTTTTTATCTACGAAGGGATTTAATTCACATATTTTGCTCTTCGGGTGAATAGTATTTCCTGATTTTAGGCAACCAATTTCTTTCTGAAATTCAAGGTACTGGACATTCTTTATAATGATATTTCTTGCTCTTTCTAACTCAGAAAGTGTTATGTAGCTTTTCTTTTCTCCTTTCGAAATTAACCGCAACATCCAAGAGATTATTCTGATAATTTTGTTAAATGAACTGCAACTTTGTAGTAAATGATATATGATATTATTTTTTATGGCTTTTTCGGTGACGACGTTAACTAAACTTTCTTTTCTGACTTCCTGTTCCGTATCAAATTTTATTTGTTTTTCTTCTAACTCATTGTAATCTCTTAGCCAGGACGGACCTTCCCACCACGTAGAATGCGCTTTTAATTGAGATGCTGTTAACCCTCTACTGGCGCAATCGGCGGGGTTTTGTTCCGATTTTACATAACGCCAGCACTTTCGCGGCATTACTTTAACTATTTCTTTCACGCGATTAGCAACGAAAGTCTTCCAAAACGATGGATCTCTGTTGAGCCACCCTAAAACAATCATTGAGTCACACCACCCATAAATTTTGATATCGTATCCTTTTAAACATTCTTTTGCCTTTGACATTAATTTTGATAGAAGTAGAGCTCCGCTCAACTCCAATTTGGGTAGAGAGAGTTTTGTGCTTGTAGGAACTAATCTTGATTTCCCTACTAATAACATTATTGTTGTATTTGAGCCCCTTTTGATTCTACAGTATATAACGCAAGCGTAAGCTTTATTCGATGAATCACAAAACCCGTGCAATTCAATTGTGTCGCCTTCTCGGGTTTCAATCCAACGTGGTATTTGTATTTTATTGATATTAATAATGTCACCTTTTATTTTATCCCATTCTGATTTTATTTGATCGGGCAATTGATCATCCCATTTGATATTTGATAGCCACACATTTTGGAAGACAATTTTCAACTTTGTGGAAAGTGGTGATAACCAACCGAGGGGGTCAAATAATTTCGATATATTTGATAATAAAGAGCGTTTGGTTTCGCAATCGTTAGATATATCAATTTTTGACTCGAAAAGGAAAACGTCTTTATGTGGATTCCAGCTCAATCCGAGAGTTTTTGTTTGCTCAGCTCCCTTGAAATTAAAACTTTGATAAGATGATTCACTATAGGAATCTGATATCTCCGGTGCGTTTGATCTCCATTTTCTTAAATTAAAACCTCCTAATTTAAGTAGTTTGATTAAATCTTCATGAAGTTGTTTTGCTGATTCAATACTATGGACCCCATGGACCAGATCGTCCATGTAAAATGATTGTTCCAACACCTCCGGGGCCATACTACTGGGAAAATTTGATCTTTCATCTGAAGCCAGTTGCTTTAAGGTCATCATAGCTAGGTATGGGGCTGCTTTGGTTCCATATGTCACGGTGGTTAAATGATATTCCTTTAGAGGCTCGTTGATAGAGTTGCGCCAAATTATCTTTTGATACTGTTGATCTTTTTCATTAACCCAGATTTGGCGGAACATTTTCTCTAAATCTGCAGTAAATCCAAATTGATATTGTCTCCACTTGATGATTAGAGACTGGAGATCCTGTTGCAGATTAGGTCCAGCTTCCATCACGTCATTTAAACTTTGTCCAGATGATGTTTTAGATGACCCATTAAAGACAACTCTAAATTTTGTTGTGGTCGACTCTGCTCGTTCTACGCTGTGATGAGTCAGGTAGAAATCGGGTTTTACTGTCGGGCCACTAGATAGTTTCATATGTCCTAAGGAATCATATTCGTTCATGAATGATTTGTATTCTGTATACATTTTTTCGTTACGAATGAATTTGCGTTCTAATGATCGAAATTGTGCAATAGCTTTATTTTTTGATTCACCTAAATTTTCTGTAAAATTCTGTTTTAGTGGAAGTCTTACTTCATAGCGCCCATCATCTCGTCTGATTGTCGTATCTTTATAATACTGCAAGCATTGCTGATTTTCTATTGATAAGGGAGAGTCGCCAGTAATATCTTCGACTTCCCAGAACTTTTGAATTTCGTCCAAATTATTCAATATAACATTACATTGTATCGTCTTGACGTTACCGCTTAAAATCCAGCCCAAACGCGTATTTTGTGCTAGGGGTGTCTCGTTACTTATTTTACATATGCCTTCTAATAATATCAATGAATAAATGTCAGCGCCGAGTAATAAATCTACGGGACGGCTAAAATTAAATTCGGGATCTGCTAATGTTATATTGTGTAAATAAGACCATGTTGGCTTTTTAAATGATTGGCTGGGTAAGTTTTTTATTAAACTGTTCATTATGAGTACGTCTGTTTCAAATTCAAATTCATTGTTAGTTGACGAACATTTGATATGTATCATCCCCTTGCAGTTGTTTTCATTCGCACCTATTCCGGAAATGACTCCTTGACATTTACGTCGAGGCAACCCTAACCGCTGCACTGCATTCTCAGTTATAAGCGACGCTTGCGATCCTTGATCTAACAAAGCCCTTAACTCCATGTATGATCCGTCAAAAGATTGTACCTTTATTATCGCTGTTGCCAAAAGTATCTCTGGGATTTCAGGTTGTAAAGACACATGAGAGTTGCTGCGTACTGTTGGCGACGGCTCCGGGCGTGCGGTGTTTTGAAATTTTCTGAAGTTCGAAGTGTTGGATGGTTTATCGGATAGAGTGAATGCATCATGTAATAGAGTGTTATGAGCCTGATTACACTCACGGCATTTTTTATCCGAAATACATGCTTTACCATAATGGCAATAGAGGCAATTTTGACATATATTGAACCTTGATATTGTTTTGCGTTTTGATACTGCATCCATGTCTAAAAATTGTTTACAAAAGAAAACTCCGTGATCATCGCTTTTACAAATGGGACATTTATAATATTTCGTAGCGTAAACATTTTTATTATTGTAAAATGATTGCGAAATGTTGCGGCTCTGGGCCGGAAATGATTGCTTAATGTTAGAATGAATATTGAGTTGTTTATGATAGTTTGGACTCGATGTGGCATTAAAATTATGATTTCTTATGATTGACTTAGACGAGTGTTCTTGTTTACGTCGAGAAGTTTCCATGGTGGTAAACTTGTTCTCCAAAAATATTAAAAACTCTGATATATTAGGTATTTCTCTCGGCTGTTTCACTGATGATATGTACTCACTGTGGGTCTCAGTATCTAATTTTTGACAAAGAATATAAATTAGTAGGGGATCCCACGAGTCAACCATTACTCCTAAATTTTTGATGGCGTTTAGGGTTTCACGTGTAGTATCATGAATCCGTTTTAAATGATTGATTGATACTTGTTGTATAGCTGGAATACTAAATAGAATATCAAAATGTGAGTTGAGAATTAATTTCTTATTATCGTACCTATGCGTCAGTATATCCCAGCAAACGGTATAATTTTCAGATGATATTGATAAATGTTGAATGAGTCGCTCAGCTTCACCTTTGACCTTTGATTTTAAAAATTGCATTCGTTGAGCGTTTGACAGTGACGGGTTGTTGTGTATAGTTTCGACAAAAAGATCCTTGAAAGAAGTCCACTGATGGTAGCTTCCACTAAATGAAGGTAACTCTATATGAGGTGTCGATTGTTCACGGTGTGATACGGACCACAATTTCCTATTAATTGACTTGATAACTTCGTTATACTTTCGTTCAAATCTAAAATATACAGCTTCGTAATCTGGATCCCTACTTCCCAACTCACTGTCTAGCTCCCAATGTAGAGAATCTATTGCTGACCAACGAGTTTGAATTACACGCAACAAATGATCGAACTCCCATTTTTCAGTGATATTATCTAGGTTGATATTACAAATAGTATGTTCAAACGCCTTAAAGTGACTACTCTGTTTCCTTAACATTTCGTCAGTCTTACTACTCATGCCTTGTGATCGTGATGAAGTACCTTGCTCTGCTATTTGATGAGAACTCGGTATAGTCATGGGCGTAGCTGGCTTGATAACTGGAGTGGAAGGTCTGCTGCCCTCATCTCTCGGTTGATAATTTTGAATAGTCGCCCTTATGTTTGAAAACCTATCTTTTACTATCTCATACTGATTTGAAGTAAAGTATTGATGAGTTTTATTCCCAAAACCACACAGCTTAACATGATTCGATTGATATTCATGCCAATAAGAATCTAAAGTTTCGAGACGTTGTTTGATATAGGTAACGGTTTTCCTATCCGAACCGTCCTTCTTAAAATTAGTGTAAATTTGCTCAATAGCAGATGACAGCTGCTCCTGAGTTTGTAGAAAATCTTCCATGCTGGACATTTTGATATAATGTAGTAAAAATAACTAAATGATACGCCTTACTTGTTTCGATGATACTGATCGATCGTGATTGCAAGTTACTCACGATCCCTAACGCTGCTTCTTGAAGTTTCTTCGATAACTTCAGTGAAAGTCCACCTCACTTGTGACACAGAGTCACTATTTTCTGAGTTCACGTTTGCACTGAGTCACTCGCGAGGCCCTTATTCGAAGGACCAAAAAAGATGTACGGTTCGTACACCTTTTTATGATAGAGAGAGAGAAGTAAAAGTCTTGATATATTATAATTGATATATTGTAACAAGTAAACTAAAATTACTGATATATGGAATGATAATGATATGAGTACGCGCGGCGTGATTGATTACCGATGACGAACTAACTACAAATTGACCTAAATTAATGAATGTAGCGTAAAATGATTACTAGACAAAACTGTACGAGTTGGCTCGTACAAAGATAATATTAATTAAAATATCCGAGCCCAACAACATATCTTTAAAAGCAAATAACAAAATCAACAAAGCATTTTCCCTATCATATCATACCTATATAGATCCCTGAGCATATCCTTTTTAATGAAATATTGAATGTCAGTATATGGTATGCAGAAAAACTATAAACACACAAAAAAAAAAGTCTAACAATAACCATCCTCCTTTTTGAATACTATAAAAAACTCACCATCGTCCTCGCAGTGCGCGAGCTCTTCAGCCAACCTCTCCAGTTTCACCCTCTCCTCGTCTACTTCCATAACGCACTGCAACGCCGTCTTATCAGAGGCGGGCATTTCACGAGTCAAATGAAAGATATCGATATGATCAGGTATCGGTACCTCACGTCGACCCAGCACTGACAGCAATGACGATTTACCTGCAGAATACGTTAGTTTTAATTTGCAAAGTAAACAAACATACACTTATGAAGTATTCTTGGATTCAAAAGATATTACTATCATAAAGAACATAAAACTATGATAAAACTGATGATCAATTTAAGAACAGCAAATTGGCCTTCGCTTTGTTCTACACTGACTAGGTTATGTCGTGCGTACATTAAAAACAGCAATAATGACTGGGTAAAAAGAAAGAAAAAGAAAAATGTTAGACACGTATTTTTTGCTTCAATTCAACGAAGAAGTGGCTTAGATAAATAGGCATTAAAGTTACAGTTGTAACGTAAAATTTACGTCACATGTATTTTTCATACAACTCGGCTGAATGGGCCTAATCCCGAGGAAAATTTAGTTTCGTAAAAAAAAAATATAAACTTGTCTGTCGGTTTTGACATTTGTCACTTCACGACCTTTTTAAATAGCAAAAAGATGTGACTCTTTGGTTATATTTTAATCTTGTTGCATCAACGGTATTTAAGTAAAAATACCTTATTTTTAATAATGGTAAGCATTATTCTTCATGGCACTTATAATTTTTTTTATAGTATTTTACTATTTTCAAATTTTTTATCTTCGCAGGTGGAAACATAAACCTACTTAGGGGTCCACCTTGCCCCATGTTGCTTTAGTTTTTTGTTTTTAAACGGTAAGTTTTCGAAAGTATCGACCGATATATTTTCGTTTGTTTTGTTTTCTAAATTTTAAACGGTGTGATTTTCTTTTCAGCCGTTGGCGTTTTTTTTTATATACAAGTTTTCTTGTACTTCAATTTTGATGTACTGATCATAACCTTTACCGCATGAGCCACGCCACACTCACTTGATACATCACAATCTTGGGCACGCCAGCTTAGCACGATATAATTAAGAAGCAGCTATGTAAGCACGATGCATTAAGGAGCAGCTCATTTGGTGATGTAAAACCTTTTTATTAATAGTTCCAAAATTCTAATCACCTCTAGACTTTAGAGATTATAAACTTAACTTTAATTTTAGAATACTTAAAAGTTTCATTCAAATAAATAGCAAACCAAAAGTAAAATTGTTGTTCGTTATTTACAAGCCCCCCTTGCGATTAAAACTCCAAACTCTCCGGCTTTGTTTTCCAGGTAGGTCTGGCGCCTGAAAAATTTATACTAGTTTCTTATAATTATTTAATTTGTTAGTGACCTACCTCTTGGCAAATTTCTTTGCAAACTTACATTATTTTTAATATCATAATTTTCACACTAATTATTTTCTAATTGTCACCATTAACATGAGTAAATAAATCCCATTTTTTTAGATATTACACAGTGGAGACTCGCTACATCACAGCTATGTAGAAAATGTACAAAGGTGTGACGTCATGCGACATTTCTACTGAATGTATCGCCGTAATTTATTGATTACGCAAAAATAGGTTTTTTTAATAATATAGTTTTCATTATAACTATACTACATATATATTGATAATAACATGATTGTTGTAAATATGACTTGTAATCGTATCTCAATAGAATTATCTAACGTGCAATTTCTTTCTCACATATAATAATAATAATTTATTCATACTAGAATTATCTAACGTACAATATTACTAATGCAATTTCTTTCTCACATATAATAATAATAATTTATTCATACAACTAACAAACATGGTTTAAACGGATAACTTACAAAAACAGTACCTCTTACTCCTAAACTAGGGTAAGCCCATATCTTAAAGAGTTTGTGATTCCCCACAAAAAGTTTAAAATCTAACCTTGATAGTGTAGTGTAGGTGTTCATATTGCAATTTTTTTAAATAACTTATATACATATACTATTCAAGTATACACTAGCCAAATGTCAGTTCAGTTCTGTCTCCTGATAATTAAGCGTTAACAGCATATTTTGCATTATCTTTATGATCTCATAACTAGATAGGGGTTAAACTGTTTCATACTGTTGGCGACTATTACAACTTTGTATGAAGTAATATCTTACTTCATACAAAATATTTTTTCGTAAATTCAGTGTTGCTCTCATAGTAAAAGTTATTCAGTATATATAGCTCATCCACACCACAAACTCCCGGCACATAATATTAAACTTTATATACAATGGCATGACTAAGCCATGCGAATAAACCATAATATATTCCTGTGTTAATGTATTATAGTATTTTTTTTACCTTTTAAAAGTTACGCGAGCGTAGATTATAAATAAATTATCGAACCAGGAATCGAACCTGCGCTCATGCCAATCCCTGATCCATAGAGGTACAAATCACATTTAGTAACAATCAATTGAAGTATTCATATTTTCACCCGTAAGTTTTGAAAGTCGCATTGCGAAATAATTGAACAATTGAAATTGAAAAAGCTTTACGTCGATATCTCGAACAGTCGCAAACAAAAACCAGCTTTGCTAACAACAACAGTCGCAATAGCGCAGCGCTAAATTAAACACGTGACGCAATCAAATGTACAGGCGGACCAAAAAATTAATCAATATTGTAGCGAATTCAACTTTATAATATTGGTGCAATGTTATTTGCCATTCTGATTATTGCGAAGAGAAATGGCGTAGTAGTTTAACACTTAGCTACTTATCTGTTTTGGGAAACATATTTTAAAACATTCATATGCAATAACTATCAGATTAATTATTTCTCCAAAAAATGTTATTAAATAAAGGAAATCATACGTTTATTCATTAATTTAAAATGTATAGCGAAAATATGAGTGACGTGTCATGTTGAGCTATGACGTCACATTTCAATAAACATGAGTACTGGTTACACTCGCAACAAAGACATTTATTTACATTTAGTTTATTGATATTGTTTTGTTTATTGATGCTATGTTATAGTCGCCCGTGTTGCCATGGCGTCATTGGTAGGGAGGCAACGCAGCGGTTTAGAAGTCACGGGGCAAACGGAAGAGGTCACGGTTCTTTAGGACCACTTCTGTTTGCGTTTTAAATTAAGAAATAAATGTTAGACAACATCATATACATTGCTCAGATCGCAAATGAAATAGGTATAGCATCTTTACATTATGAAAATTGAAATTTCAAATGCCGTTTTCAGATTAAAGTTAACAATAGTCGATTCTAATAATTTTTACGCCATAATGTCAAATATATTTGTCTTTAATATGTTCATAAAATTATTAATCCCTTTCTCCAAGGCGATTGATATGCATCAGAGTAATACTTTTTTAATTTGAAGAGTAACAATTCAATTGTAGTATTTTGTGTAATCTAAAAGAAAATGTTGACATGTTTATTTTCCAATTTATTTGTCTGGTGTTGGCGTAATATCTATTCTTCTCATACTTCTTAATCAACCATCATCTTTTACACATCAATATCATTTTATCCGTCAACACTGTTAGAAAGCCTTGTGAAAATCGAAACTATGACATCGGTTTGTAAATTTACAACGGGAGACATTATATCAAGAACATCTGCTATTTATTTGTCCCCGTTTCTTTTGTCACCACATGTACCTATATATCATCCATATCACAGAACACAGAAAGACGTTAAAAGTAGGGCATGAAATACCGGAATGATTTTCATACCGGTATTGATACCGGTATTAGACTTTCAAATACCGGTATACCGGTATTTCGGTATTTTTTCGGTATATTTTGAAATTACTGCTAAAAAACAGTAACTACTGTTTAAATAATTTAAAGAACGTTTAGTAAGTCTCCAAAGTAAAATCACTGAAACTATTCACTCCCTAGAAATCAAAAAAATTGTAGGTAATTAATGTAAGGTTATTAATTAAGACATACTAAAGAAAATACGTTCTTTGATCCTAGTATCGTTCATTTATTGTTTAATTGGCACAAATATCACAATCAGCTCTCTTATAATAATAGAACTTATAACATGTAAGTTACAAAATTTTCAAACAAAATCAAATTACAAATGATGTTACTTATTTTAAAATTATTTATATCAAAGGTGCAATTCAACTTAAATCTCAATCAGGTAGATCGCGTTTGTTGTAAAATTGAACGAAGAAAACACAATGCGTCCAAAGTTGCGTCGTTCAACGATGATCTTATTTTGTTACAAATGTAACTTGCAGATGAAAACGCCCTTTCTGATTCAACGCTGGTGGGAGGAATGCTTAATAGGTACTTGTAAGCTGCATCCAAAAATCTGCCTCTAGTACCTCCATTTTAAAAAGCTGGTGGAGTTAGAGTAGTAAACAAACGGCAACGTGCTCTCGCTTCAATAATATCAGCAGAACTGACTGAGAAAGCCGCGAGAGGGAGGGGAAGGAAGTGGTGTGCTCGGCGTGCGCGTCACATGATTAGTGATGGGACTGGATACTCGAATCGTTTTGAATCTACCGATTATTTGAATCGATAGTTGAACCCTGGGGATGGACATAACATAGGCGAAGGCGTCCTTATATATACAACTGCTGGGTGTGGGTTCCATAACGTGTACAACTGTGCTGTGAAATATAAAAAACCGGCGAGTGGAACTCGCGCACGAAGGGTGCCGTTGGAGACTAATATTCTTTATTTATTATTGATTTAAGAACCAATTCGGTATGATAAATTAATAAAAATATTTTGCTAGCTTTGATAACGGCTGAGATATTCCAATTTTTGACACTTTGTTGTATCAGCGCCACTAGAGGATAAAACTTGTAACAGGTTTTAGTATTTGTTTTTGTAACGGCAACAGTTGTACACATTCTGTGAAAATTTCAGATTCCTAGCTTCAGCGGTTTCGGAGATAGAGCCCGCTGACAGGCGGAGACAGCGTAGTCTACTCAGTCATACTGTCCTTTGATCTTTTGGTACCCTAAAAATATGTGTGAAAACGTATCAATGACTTTTAACAGCTGATATTGCAAAAATATAAAGCTTTTTTTTTAAATACCGAAATACCGGTATTTTATCCTCAAATACCGGTATCAAAATACCGAAAAAATTGTCCGGTATACCGGTATACCGGTATCCATGCCCTAGTTAAAAGGGCCCTGTGGGCGTGGCAGCGTAGCCACGATCCTGGACAAATGTACAGGATCACGACCACCACGCGATCGCCATGTTTAATCATTCACGAATGCGCGCTGTAAGTTCTATGTAACACGCCACTAAGTGTTAAAAATGCCGGCTTGTGTGTTTATTAATTGCAAAACAAGAATTCAATCCTCAAGTAGGTCCAAAAAAGAATTACTTTTCATTAATAAGTAGAACATTTCTTAAATTAAGTGTTTTTAGGGCCAGTTCTTTGATCCGTAGTTAACTCAACCATTTGTTAAAATTTTCGACAAATGGTTAAATATCAGAAAAATGTGTTTTTTGATTAATAGTTAGCGTAACCAATTGTCAGAATTCCAACCATTGGTCAAAAAATTTAACTATCACTTATGAACAGATGTACAACTGCGTTGTATTTAAATATTCATTGTAATTTTTGGGTTTTAGGGTTATTGAAAATAAGTTATATTTTTATCTTGATCATCCTTAATATATTTGTACTATATAAAATAATTTGTTTTCTTGTTTCCAAGGGCATATGCCAAATTATTCAATTATTAAAAATCTTATAAAATTTACAAAAAAGACAATACAAAAGGCAAATATGCCTACAGTATTATAAAACACATATTCCTCGATTTATTTTCCAACATTACAATCCCACCTTGGATACTAGATTCTATATTCTTTTCACGTATACTCATTCTATAAGATAAATAAAAAACAAATAGATGCTTCTTATATAAAAAGTTAAGTTTAAAATAAGTCGAAAATATTTTATCTTTGTTGCTTTCTGACATTATTAAAGAAATTGAATTATATTTCCTGAAAAATAACACAACAGAACCGTCATAAAGATCCACACTGTTTGGTAATCTGTAGATTTCTTTTGTCTATTTGGAATAAAATCCTAATGTAAAAATGGTATATAGTTCGCTCCGTTCATTCAAACCGTTAGTGTTGTCACCCAGAAAAAAATTACCCATGTCAATGTATAGCGAAAGAACGACTCATTGTGTGCTGGCAACAAATTTACCAGTGGTTAAATTTGGCTATGGTTTAATTGACTACGAATCAAAAAACTGGCCCTTAGTCGAAATTCGTGAAATGTTATCAAAAGGGTGAATCACTAAAAATATTTCCAAGAAAATATACATTGCTGGAGAAGTACGCTTATTTTTTACATTGCGTCGTACTAAGCACGTAATGTAAAGAACTCGCGAAAGCACCGTTCTAAATAGTAACATAGTAGAATACGGTAGATCGCTAGTGAAGTGCCATAGAAACATTAAATCTATTCCTTGTGTTAGTCAGTAAAAACTAAATAAAAGTAAGGACGATAAAAATAGTGGTAATAAAAGATAAATTTAATTAGAGATTAACAATAGCAATAAATAAAATGGGTTACATTTTATATTCTAGAATACCATATTGACTTCGTTAGGTATGCATTTGTATATTAATTTAATAATATAATATAGTGTGTGGTGTAGCGAAAGAATCTGTTTATATTTTCCTAATATTGAAACAAAAAAACTGATTTTTTATTTTAAACCATTAACAACAATACTTTTAAATCGTCGGAATCCGTTCGGGGTAAGTTCCAATTTATTGTAATTTTTTTTTTATTTTGTATGTATTTATTTACATTATATTGTTTGTCAATATTACTAGTTACATTTAAGCGATGTTGTCGATCTTATCTGTTTACTTGATGTGATTTAAATATTTCTTACTGCATCGACCAAATAATTAACGAGCATCAAAATTTAATGGCTTTTTAAATATTAATATCTAAAGAAAAAAGATATAAGAAATCATTACTTCAGTGTCCTTTCAATTAATTGTCTTTTTCAATATCGACAGTAAATAACTTAATGTCAATCACTAGTGCGATATGTCAAATTAAAATGGCTTTTACACGTTTATTACGCACTCTAGATGTTTGTTACGGTTGAGCGTGATTGGTTATAGTTATGTTGGGGCGTTCTGATTGGCATGTTTAAAATACAAGTGTGTGCATATCTTTTGTATAATTGGTCTAATATTTCGTCTGATGTATGGCGGACGAAAAGTGGGGCAAGACTGGCAATATCGGTTTTCGTACAAAGGATGCATGATCGGCTTTCTAACCTCTTTTCTGTGTTCTGTGATCCGTATTTATACCAAATCGTTTAAATGCCGTTTTTAATAAGGCTTAAAAAAGGCTATGAACGAAGTTTACAGTCCAACACGAATAGTCAAGAAAAAACTTCATCTTATAATGATTGTCAATTAGCAACCCAGCAACAGGAAAAAAAAAGATCCTGTGTGATCTTTTTTTCCTGTTGCTGGGTAATTAACACACATATTTCTTGGATTCCCCGCCCACTATATGTTCGTAATATTATCATCATTATTAGTATTTCCGCTTCCTCCGCCCTTATTTATTGAACTTAGTCATCCTGAACATAATTTATTTCCGTTGAACTCTCACCTTCGAAGAAATATAATAAATCTTAGAATAAAGAAAACCTTTTATAAATCACTATACGTATGTATTTCTCCCTCCCTACCTTGTCACTGTTGCTAACTTAGTTACACCCCCACTCGAATTTTTACACCTACAAAATATTAAATAAAAGCAACAGTTCCTGGAAAGTTTTACTTATATTCAAATTGCGTACATATTTTTATAGATATGGAAAATTGAACTGTTACGTCTTTTTATAAAATGTCGCACTTCTTTCCCATAACTAACAAAGTTAAAGGAGGCAGACGAACCGATTTTCTTTACACCTTATATATATTTTTCGAGTTTCTTTTTTACCCTTTAACATTTAAACTTGTATTTTTCAATAAATAAACGAAGAATCGCTGTGCCAAGCACCACCAACACATTAGATTAATATGCGTAAAATAACAACATTAATTAACACGTATCTAGTATGGGGTTATTGGTGTTTTACAACCAACCCTGAATACTAATTGAAAGCACTATACAATTACATCAAAGACATTCGCTCAGTGCAATAGGGGAAAAAAAAACAAGACAGATCAAATTTTAATCAAAATGCAGTATAACTATAGAGAGAGGTAAAGAAATATCGACATCGGTGTTGCGAATTCGTGACGGCATTACAAACATTTACGTAATTAGAGGTTCGACGATCAATCGTCCATGACGCACATTGAACTTCATATTTATGCAATTTGAATTGCTCATGTACCTAAAAAGTATTTGCGAGATTCTTGGCTGATAAAGATTGGTGAACAATCATTTATATTGTTTTCAGTTCAGTCCAGGATACGTTTAAAAAAGTTTTGATAAAAAAAAATGTGATAAATGAATAAAAACTATATAGCATTGAACTTCAAATTGCGTCCTCATTGCCGACGAGTTCGCCACTTATGGATAAGGCCTAAGTCAGGCGGCTTAGTATCCCACTAGGTAATTTACCATAATCGATAGTGCCCCACATGCAAAGTGCATCAATGGGCTATGTACGTGTCTATATAGGTACTAGAGTTGTAAGCTAGGGTTCATGTTACTCAACTAGTAAAAGAGAGATCACAGTGTCTCATTAGTCTGATTATAATCTTATATATTATAATTAATTTACTTATCAACTGGACATGAATTTCTTGTACTGTCGAACAATGTAAATTAAAAATCAACAATAACAACAAATCATACATACCACATCCATTAAGTCCAACGAGACCATATCTTCGGCCGCAATTGAGTTCGAGCAGAGTATCCTGCAGCAGTTCACTACCATAGAAGGTGATAGAGAAGTTTGCTATTTTAATATCTCTGGAACGAGGGTGTACAGCCAAAGAGCCAGTACAAGATCTCGCCTCCGAATTCATCTTGGCCTCAGCTTCCAATTTCAGACATAATGCCTCTGTAAAAAAATAATTAACGTAATATTATAAAAAAGGGCGAAAAGATTTTGAAACAACAGATATGGGTGTGTTTATGTTTAAAGTACTAAAACTGTTTTTTACTCAATTATAATACAATTTGAAAAATAATCTTTCTAATTCTATTATTTCCATAATAGAATTTGAATGGCAGAGTAATAGGTAACTTTAATTATCGAGAGTTACAAATATAATTATAAATATTTTTTAACTGAATTACAGTTTGACTATTTATTACCTATAATTTGTTTAATTAACAGATGGTAAAATGGCATGCCTGAAATTTAAAAGAAACTATTTACTGATTCAAAAAGAAACTGTATGTGATATGGGATCACAGCTGTACTGGAATATATATTTAGTAAACTGTTTAAACTTACAGACCACTTACAGTTTAAACATAAATGGAGAAAAATAGCATAATTTGAGATTTGCAGATGATCTGATAATTATAAAAGAAAAACCAGAAAATCTACAAACCATGTTACAAGTGCTAGCAGACACAAGTCAAGAAATGGGTCTGCAAATAAACACCAATACAAGATGACAAATGGAATACGATGTCGATAGAATAAACAACAGCATTGAAGAATATGTAAACCAATACACTGCTTAGGTACAAATTTTATGCAAAATTAGGACTTAATGCAAAAGAAATTGAAGCAAGAATAAATAATATGGAATAGATATTGGTCAAACAAAGATATACAAAGAATCTTCAATTCTCAATGAGAGAATAAAGAAATTATTCAACTCTTGCATATTACCATGCATGTCACATGGATGCCAGACATGGGCATTAACAGGAAAGCTAAAGAAAGCTCTATGAGTATGTCAAAACAAAATGGAGAGGAGCATGCTTAGTGTTAAATTCATATAAAGCATGAATCTGTCTGACTGACATAAGGGCTAGAACTGGTGTGACAGATGTGCAATACAATGAATTAAATGAATAGGACATACAATAACAAGCGAGAAAAGTAAATGGTCCAAAGATGTTACTGTGACATACCTTTGGGAAGGGAAAAGAAGATGTGGAAGACAAAAGAAAAGTTTTTATGAATTGAAAATTTAAAGTTAAGGATGTCTGAAACTGTGCTTACACCATCTTAAACATTACTTCAACAGTTTCATTAATGATTTTATATTTTAATGATCAGTTGATAGCAGTTTGATAAAACCAAGACTTTTTGCCATGAGAAATGTAAAAAAATTAAGTTATTAAAAATAATCACTTGAGAATTGTACCTTTCTCAACTCAGAATCTTTGACAACAATCAAATGTGGTTTTTCTGATAAAATATTGTCTATGATCAACCACCCCTGGGTTCAGACATAATGCCAATTTTTTTTATTTGTAGGTTTATCTTCCAAAAATAATTTAATTTTTCCCTTTTTATGCAATAGGATTTCACAATTATTTTATTTGTATAATTTCTATTGTTATAAACAATAAAAATGTTGCCAGTTGCTTTGGATATTTATCAGACGATAATTATCCGAAAAAATATTAGGGGTTGAAGTATGAAATATCCCTTTTATTGTAATAGGTTCCTTGAATTGACATAAAATATTCATGGTTTGAGGTTTTCGAAAGGAACTTTTTTCACATGGTTTCTATGATGTTTTTTTTTTAAATGGGGAACATTTTAATATCTACTTCAATTGGTTTTGTTATTCAAGTTAGACAAGAAAGATGGATACTGGGAAAATTCGAGTGATTTTTGAATACGAGTTCCGACGCAGAAGTAACGCGGCAGAAACTGCCCGAAATATCAATGTTGCGTTTGGAGAGGAGTCTGCTAATCAAGGCACCGTGCGATTTTGGTTTAAATGCTTCCGTGATGGAAACTTCGACTTGAAGAACGAGCCACGACGAAGACCGCCCACACAGATGAATAACGATGAATAAAGAGAGATGGTGGAAGCCGATCCTAGTCAAATCAAATCAAAATTATTTATTCAGTCTAGGCTGTTACCCTTCAATCCGCATTGGGCCAGCGTGGAGGGTCATGGCCCATACTCCTTAACCATCCATAAGGAAGGCCTGTGCCCCTGCAGTGGGGACGTAAAAGGGCTGATGGCTAGGCTGTTACAAGCATTTGTGAAAGTCGAAAGCTAGCGGTTCGTAAATCCACGGCAGGAGACCGTGTACCAAGAAGAACCGGCAAGAAACTCGGCAAGGACTGCTTTTTTCTCCCTGTTTTATTTCATACAAGATTGAAAAATGACTTTATTAAAATTTGAAGTTTGAAACTATCCAGGAATTAACGGCATGGTTTAACGTTATCTTACCCACAATATTGACTCATTTACGTCAAATCAATAAAATAAAAAAAAAATATCAAAAATGGATGCCTCATGATTTGACTGATCTGCAGGAAGAAATGTGTGTTAAAACTTGTGTTGCCTTGTTGAATCGGTACAGAAATGAAGGTATATTGGATCGAATTGTGAAATGTGATGAAAAGTGGATTCTTTATGATAACTGTAAAAGAAAAATAGCTGACCCCAGGTCAAACGCCACAACAGTGTCCTAAAACAAAACTCACCAATAAAAAGGTAATGGTAACTGTTTGGTGGTCTCAGCATGGTCTTATTCACCATAATTTTCTCTGATCTGGTCAAGCAATAACGGCAGATGTCTAATGTACCGATCTCCGAACAATGTTGGCAAAACTAGCAGTAAAACAGCCCTGACTCATGAATTGATCTTTACCATTATTGCTCCATGACAACGCGAGACCTCATACAGCACGAGAAACCGTTTTCACCCTTCAGGAACTGCAGTTAGAAACCATTCATCATCCTCCATTTTTACCCGACTGCGCGACGCAAAGGAGGGTAATGTGTTTATCAATCTATGTATGTATGTATGTTTGTTTCTATGTGGCGTTCTAGAGACCAAATGCATAGGCCGATTTTGATGATTCTTACGTCAATCGATTCGTCTTAACCATGCGCGTGCCACTAAAGACACGACAGTAATCAAAATTCATCACAGCGACAACCAGACTATTATCAAAATGTCAAAATGAAAAAAAAGTCAATGAACTATGTCAAATGGGGTGTCGTTGAATAGGTATTTTAAATTCATCTTTAGGTTCCCTTTATCATTTTTCATTTTAAATAATAGTTTAGGATATATAATGTTTTAAAGTTTTTTAACAAAACAATCATTCTCGCTAATTTTCTTACTTATTGATTTAAGTTTTTATTTATATACAAACAAAAAAAAACAGTGAAAAAGATTGAAAAACAAATATTCTTGTTAAAAAAATAAATCATATGTAGCTTTGAGCCGAGTTAAGTCTAGGCAAGTTACTTAATAATACGATATTAACTCCCTCAATGAAATGACTAGATTGTGTAACTAAAAAGTATAAAATAAAAATAATAATTTAAAGAAAAACAAAAAACCCGACTGCATAAAAACGAATTTAAAAAAAAACATGAAATAAATGAACTTAAATAAAAACTCAAAAGAAAGAAACAAGCCCAGTAGTTAAGAATTCTGTTAAGTAATAAAGAACAGAACGACTTGCAGTCAGGGCCCATTCAAATTTTACCAATCAAATCTTCCCAAGGGGCCCCAACTATGACTATGGCCTATTGCAAAGGCATAAATGACCTTCCTATTAGATGGCAGCAATGTATAGATAATAATGGTAACTATTTTGATTAAATAAACAGTACAAATCAGCAATTTCATACTTTAACCCCTATTATTATCTTGATAATTATAAACCCAGATTTTGAGAAAGTATTTTTGTTACTATATAACGAGTTTCAATTAGCTGCTATTGCTTTGTATGTATGTTGCAGTCAAGTGGTTAAATTAGCTATTAACTAATGGTTTATAATGTTTTTCTTTAGTTTTTATGCAAAAAAGTGCCATATTAGTGTCATTTTCCAGATGTACATAATTATCAAAAAAATATATTGTTCTTTGTATTTTTTTCATTTGTTTCATCATAACAATGTGAATTAAATTAAACAAAAAGTGAAATCAAAATAGGTGATTCCCATTTAATTACAAATCCTGAAGTATTAAAGACTTTCAGTAGTGTTTTTATAATTATGAAGGTATTGATCAAGTTTATTATCAAGATATATTTATCAAGATAATTATCAATAATTATCACTTGAAATCTAGATTTTTATGTTTATTCTAAATCATCACCAGTCCTTTTACATTCTCACTAATTAAAAAGGACAGACCATGAAGCTCCATGCTAGCCGCATGTGTATTGGAGGGTATCAGCGACTACAAATGCAGCTTGGCTCAAAAGCTTAACATGTCTATTGAATTTGGCTGACATTCATCAGCCATACTGTGGAGCATTGTGTTCAGCAGCTTTTCAGTCAATAGAAGCTCAGCCATGTAATTGAATGACGCCATTTAGTTAAATGGTTAGCCACCTTATTGAACTCCTGATTTAACTAATTGGCTAGGACATGTATATTCCATTGTTACTTATAACTCTACCCCTAAGAATGTGATCCATAATAGTCATTGATATATTTCATATTATTACACCTAGTCATATTGTCACCTTTTTATAGTAAATTAACAATTGACATAACACTACAAAAGCTAACTTCTGCCACTACTTTTATTGTAACAAAGATAAAACTATGTATGTGCTAATAAAATTTTCAATATAAAGCAAGCGGTCACTTAAATCAAAGAACAAAGAAATTTGTTACTGTGAGATGAAAACTGAAATCTGAACACAGAACATCTATGTAATCTGATAGGTTAGAAAAAAAGAGTGGAAATAAAAAAAGATATGGTTCAATTTTCAGCCATAGCTTGCTAATTTACCTTCAGCTGTAAGTTCTCTCTCCTCTTTGCTGGCACCGTTGGTCGCGGATCCATTCTCTTCATTTGTTACCCTAGGCACAGGTTTTTTATTTCTATTGCTCGCCTGTTCTTTTTTCTTTTGTTGCGCCCTCTTCTTCGCGTCCGACGGCATTTTTGACTAACTAAGCTATAAGCAAAATAACACTGCACATAGAGGTATCGATTGACACACTGAAACCTAACTAATCGATGCACTGAAATCCATTGCAATGCAATGCATTTTCAATGAATACACTTATCTCACGAAACGCACTTCAAATTTGATAAAGTGAATCGAATAATTCAGTATTTAGTTAAAAATGACAACGATTAAACATAACAATGAAACAAAGTTACTGGTTTTTACCTAAATACTTTTATGCGATGATAGCAAGCCGTCCGCGTCTACACGTGCTGGTTTAAAAAGAAAGACAATTTAGTCGCGCATGTAAAACTAACGAAAGAGACGAAACATTGCCATAGACAATATTTTTTTACTATGACTTTGACACATATATAGATCTAAATGTCATCGTATAGACTAAAGATTAATCGGATCATTTGAAAATCTATGTTTACTATTATTATTTAATAAAATAAATATATATATTTCACTTTGCAAAGAATGGCAAATATAGATGAGTTATAAATTATAAAAAAAGGAGCACTAAAAAAAGCATCTCCACTAGATGGCGACTCTAGCAATGTACCAAAGAAAGTCATTTCTATTCTTTTTAACTAACATATTAAATAACTGAAATTTGCAAAGTTCAAAACTTGGATATTAATACAAATAGAATATGAGATGTTTATTGAGTTTTGAAAACTAATTTACTTTTATAAATGAAAGAAGCCGGCAGGATTGTCATGGAGAAATCAAGAAAGTAATCTAGTTTGATTTCGGGAACATTTTTTTTTAAATACTTCCTCTTTTCGTTAATATTAAGTTTTTAAAAACTTTACAAAAAGTACAAATCAAGGCTATTTGTTCACTTATTTTCTACTGGTATCCCTATGAATGTCATGGCGGTCACTAGTAACTTTTTCACTAGTATTTTTATACATTTGAATAGTTAAAATGGTGAAAAGTGTTGCATTTATTGTTGTCCAGGTGAATCTTGTAGTGGTTGCAAGCTTTTCACGATTAAGATAAAAACTATAATAATATAAATCTAAAAACTATGTTTACCATGATTAGTGTGACTGTGGTATATAATAGCAAAGTATTAATGCAGATTTCCAAAAAATGAAGAAATTCAACAAAAATGTTTCAACAGTTGGGGCCAGAAAATTCACTTGCAGTCGTCACTGCAATTTCGTTTTTTGAATTATTTTTAAAGGGTTTAAAAATAATTCAAAAAACGAAATTAAATTTAATTCGTTACGAACTTTTGATGGTAAAATTGGACTTAAAAACGTCACAAAACAATTTTTTTGTAATGAAATGAATATTTATTTGATATTGAATTTCTCATGTTCATTAGAACATTTGTACTGCATTGAATTGTTTTCAACGTAATAAATATATATTATAAATTAATAATCTTTTATTTATATCACATTAAATTATTTAACACAAACTAGGAATTTACTAAAATATGAAAACAACATTTTTGTGATGTAATTCGACAGATTTTATTTAGTAGTTTATTCGTTGTTTATTACATTTTTACAATAATTGAGTCTTTTCTTTAAAGTACAAATATTTTCACTTATTTATATAACAAGGTTATTGTCATATTTTTTTTACAAATTGATTTCTTTTTGATGATTTGATAATCTTAGTTTACCCGTACCTATAAAATTGGCAAAAGTAGATCAAGCCGGTTGAGCCCCAATACATTTGAAGCGATATCGTACACTACACGTACGTACACATGCAATTCGATGTAGAGAAGATTTGTGACCGATTTTGACAAATCGTGTTATCTCATGAGTAAACAAACACCTCAGATTCTCCATACATATTATAAAGGCGTGCGATTCGTGCAATCGTCGATATCTAATTGCATGAAAAGTCTATAAAAAAGTTTAACAAGATTTGAAGTCTCTCTTAATCAAAACACTATATTTTATTTTATAACTAACTATTTTCCCGCTACTTGACCCGGCCAAGTTAGAGCCTAAAAAAATTTAAAATAATTTCAGTAGTTCCGGAGCCGGAGTCTATACAGTGTTAATAAGCAAATAGTGAAATCGTAACTCTTTATAATATTAGAATAAAAAACTAAAACTAAAAGTACAAAATGTACGACTACAGTAATAAATATCATTGGCAAACATCATAGAAACTCCTACGCACAAAAGCCTCAAAAACCAAGATTCAGTGTTTTAGTAGATGAATCTACAGATATTGTCTGCTCCAAAACTTAGTGTATTGTGGTCAAATTTTACGATACTACTTCTTCAAAAAGGCTGCACTGGAAATGCTATATATGAAACAATCATTAAAAGTTTTTCTGAGATGTACCTCTAACAAATATTATTGGATGTGCATCAGATGGGTGTAACGTTATGATGGGCACGCACAATTCTATTAGCAGTAATTTAGCAGCACATTGAAACCCCATTTTCCAGGCAACAAAATATCCAAATGTATGTGTCATTACATGCACCTATGTTCCAGTGTGGCCTGCGAAGTATAACCGCAGCGCTGTGAGGATCTTGCAAGAAATATATACAGCTTTTCAAAAAATTGCTCGAAGAGGCAGGCGAATATACAGAATTTCAGATTTATACATATAGTAAGATACTCAAAATTTTTCGTCACTCTCAAACACGATGGTTGTCATTGTTAGCAGTCCTTGACTGAATACTTGAGCAATGGGTTGGTCTACAATTACTTTTTTTGGAAAAAATGGCGCGTATCTTTGCCACAGAAATATTTTACCATGACCTAAACGATCCTTTTGTTAAATTGTATTTTCTATTCTTGCAATGGGTGTTGCCAAAGTTCGTAAAACTTAATGGATATTTCTAGACCAGTGAACCGAAATTTGCAGAATTGGATGAAAGGATGAGATTGACATTCAAAGAATTCTTATATTGCTTCTTTTCAAGAGACTATGTCAATCAAACGACGAAAACGCCCTGTAACTGGTTATCTTCGTAACCAATAACAGGTTTTGTTTACCGGCATGTGACGTCATACATAAACCGGAAGCTAACAGTGTAATTAGTGATACGCAAAATTTGTCTTTATACATACAATTTTTAGCTCACTTTTATTAACAAAACCAGAGTAGATACAAATACAAAACATAAAATTTAACTTCAATTTCTATTCTGTAATACTATTTGTTTACTTTGTAAATAAATAGTTGATAAATAGTTTACGTCCCCTTGACATATTTACTGACATGTGACGTCACAAATACCACGTGTCATTACATAGAGCAGTTATTTTGCGCGATTATGGCTTTTTAAATTTTAACAATTATTTTCATCTAAAATAGAACAGATTCTAATGAAATATATTGACAGTGTATTTACAATGTATCAAACGACCATTTAATAGTATATTTCATTAGAAATGCGGAAAGGCTGTCATTGTAACGAGTTCCGATAAATGTCTTCTCGAGCCTAGGCGCAGGCGAAGGCGAGGGTTGACAGTCGGAACGAGTTGCAATGACGGTTTCGCACGTGTACTGAATGATTATTTTAATGCAGTTGCGAAAAAATGAAGCAATTTAATAAAATAATAAAAACAAAATTAACTCAACTAACTAATCATTTATTTTTTATGAAAGTTGTAATTCACATATACATTGAAATTGGTACAGTTTCTTATATTACATATTTACTGTTTGAGATAAATACAGTAAATATGTAATATAAGAAACTAATATAAGAATATTATTAATTTTGTATGATTGTTCTTGTGTAGGTATTTGTCATACAATGGCGTTTGCTAGTTGATGGAACTGGATCTGATGAATTATCATTATCAACGTCGGTAGATGGACGAACGTTCTCTTCAACGTATAAAGGAGACGGACAGGACTTTAAATAAATGGATTGTGTGATTTTTTCCAGTTTCTTGTTTAATGTATCACCAATATAGCTTTTCGTAACAAATACCAAACAAACACATTTTGTGTAACAAACAACTAAACTCGCAAAGAAAATTTCTGGAAAATGGCGCCATTTTTTCTTCACCCATCCTGGTAGGCAAAGGGAACTATGCCCATACATACATAGTCTTCAGTAGATTTTTTTTATTGATATGATATAAAAATGAAATTTAATGAGATAAAATGAAATGAAACCTAACCTCACTAATTCAATCAAATCATTAAATTTGATATCGATACAAATTAGTAGTTTTTTTTAGAAAAATACATACGCTACGTATTTACATGAATCATAAAAACATCTTTGATTTTTTTTTAGTAAAAACTTCATGGTTGGTTTTTCTTATTAATAGACATTATTTTGACAGTTGGGAAAGAGAACGCACAAGTGCGGGTAAGGTGAAAAAAAGCACAAGTGTGCAATAGCCCTCATCCCGAACGCTATACGTCCCTGCAATACGCCACTTTTTGAGCAACTGTATTAAAAATAGTTTTCAGAAGAGCGTCAAATACCCTATTCAGATTCCAACACACGGCAACTTAAAATTTCGAAATGGCAACCCTGAGCCAAACTTTAGTGTGCAAATACGTTCGCGTGTTGCGTTAAAAAGTAGTACATTTTAAAGTAGTTTTGTAGTGCTCATAATGAGGAAGTATTTACCTTCCATTACGTTAGTTTCCATTTTCCTTTATACAAATGAAAATAAGGTTATTCAAAGATTCGGTGGTATTACTCCAGTTGCGTTTTCGTAACTCGAATTAATTTAATTTCAACTCGATATTAATCCGATTATCAGATCCATAACAACACTGAAAATTCTATTCTCTTTGGTCTAACATCGGAAGTATTAAAAAAAAACGAAAGCACTAAAAAAGTGGAGGTGTCCACTAGATGGCGACTCTAGCAAAAGTTGATTTTTGCAGGAAACGAATGGACCAAAGCCAGTCATTTCCGTTCCTTTTAGCTAACATATTAAAATTGTTAATTGAGAAGTTCAAACTTAGATATTAACACAAATACGAAAAAGTACAAATAGAATATGAGTTGTTTATTGAGTTTTGAAAACTAATTTACTTTTAAACATGATAGAAAACCGGATGGGTTGTCATGGAGAAATCAAGAACGTACTTTAGCGACATCTACTTGATATCGGAAACTGTTTTTTTTAAATACTACTTTAATAAATAAAATATACTCACAATTAATTTAAAAACAAAAAATGTTAGTTACATACCTTTCATATCATACTCTAAGTTGTAGCTTCGCGTATGCCCAAGGTAAAGAATTTTTAAAATCGGTCTAGTATTTTCCGAGTCTATCAACCATTTTCGATAACATAGAACAAGACATAGCATTACTAAGAAACGCCTAATAATACGAATCGCCTAAGCATATTAGTCTAATATCAAATTAATATTTTTTTTCTTATATCCCTTGACATAAGTAGGTATAGGTGCTTAGTACAAAGCGCATCTTTCATTCATTTCATTTTACATGTAGAAATTAATTTATTCACTTGACATTGGCAGAATCGTGCGAATTACGCAGATAACCCATTAATAAAAGAAGAAGAAATATCATTTCATTTTAATTTTATATGTAAAAAAAAATATTGACTTGACATGGCAGAATTGTGCGAAATGCGCAGATAAGCCATTAATAAAAAAAGAAGAACTATAGACGTTGCTCAATTTCGTTAAGTGGTTCCTAGTCAATTAGCATCCGCTGATATAAGAAAAACCTGCATCAGCAACAACCAACAACCCTGATAGTGAATCAGGGCATGGCATCTCTTTCTACTAGCATGTCCATATATTCAGAGCTATGGATAATTTCGCAATAAATAGATGTATGTATTATTTTTTACGTTAGGCATAAACATTTATAGCGCGTCTTTTATAGGATAGTTCGGTTAGGAATTCGTAAAAGAAATAACAGTTTTGTTTTAATATTTTATTTCATGTAATAATCGGAGCAGCAATAATCCTATAACAACTGTTATCAATAACGATTCCGCAGTTATAAAGATTCTATATTGGTTTTAAGTATTATGTGTGATAATAATTTCCAGCTAAAATATATTTCAGAATTATATTTTCTTATTATTAATTAGATAAGGCAATAAATAACATATTCACAATAAACTGCGTAACAAGAGAAAAATAGGAAATCAGATTATTATTTGTCTAACTATAAACATTGTAATAACAATACACTAAAGACAAATAAATATAGGATCACGAAATTACAAATAATTATATATATGTAACACGATAAAACTCTAATTTTACAATACACGAAGAGATATTTGTGAAACTTTTTCTTGTTATTCACAGTCTATTTGGTGTTGATGGCGCAGCCGAGTGGTATAATCAGCTGGTCAATTGGGCGAGTTTCGTTCAGCCGAGTAACTGAAGCGAAGGTCAGCCAAATAATAAGCAAAACTCAAAAACTCCTTGTTCACGATACGAATTGCAATCGATACAAATACAGGACGGATTAAATATGATAATGGTCCGTATGATCCGATACAGGAAGCTAATGTACTTACACACTGATAACACAAGTGGGTTAACCTTAAACCTTAATACTAATACAATCATACAAATACAAGATACACCGCGATTCAGACGGCTATAGCGCTATTTATCGAAAATGAGAGTAAGCAGTGTATTTGCCTGCAATTATTTTAGTATGTTTACCACGATTTGGAAGTTTGGTGCTACGAAATGATAAACAGCGAAGTTATTTTTTTGATAACAATACTAAATTAACGTTTCGGCGACTTTTAAATCAGTCGTCTTGTTGAACGGTTCAAATGTAATAATGATTCAACTAGAAAACTAGGAGTGCAATTGAATGGTGTCATTCAATTAAATGGTTAGCTGACCAATTGAGCGGCTGTTTTAACCTGCTGCGACATCGATACCAGATGCAGATGTTCTTAATTTGTAAGGTTCCGTTATCAAAATTAACATTGTGATATACTTAAGCCTATTATTATGCTTGCCGCTTCCCCCCCCCCCCATACGCATCCACGCTTTGTATCGTTAAAAAATGTTATTTAAATATGTATTTGAGATTTTATTTTAAGTAAATGACTGTAATATTTATCGTTCTGCTATAGTCAGTATGTCTCACTCGTATTATAATATAAATGTGGTAAAAAGTACCTTCACAAACTAGGCAAAATGTTGCTATCCGTTTTGAGTTTCTTGGGATTTGTCCCATTTTTTGGAGCCCTGCGTAACTTTACTGCGTGGGTTTAATTTTGTCACGAAGATGGGAGGGAGGCGAGCAAGTATTGTAACCGAAATATCAGACAAAAAAACTTAAAAGGACTATTATTTTTGTAGATACTCTTATCTGGTTTACTCCGGTTATTTACCTAGCAACGTACAAGCAACGGGGCAGTAGATATCGACGAACGATGCTCTATTTTTTTAAGAAACTTATAACATTAATATTTTATTATATAATACAAATATCTAACTATTCACTTCAAGTCACTCGTATTCTTTTCGGTATATGGTCTAAGTGTACTTCCTATGATTTGGCCAGACTGAAATCTCATTTTGTTTTGCGACAAGTAATTTCACATATATTGCTCTGAATTTTGATCCTATAGGTAACTAGCTAAGCTAATAAGGAAATCAGCAACATCAACAACAATACACAAACATTCAGAGCAGAGAAAATATGGAAATTCTTGGTACCCGAGCGGGATGGAATCAAAGATTATTAGAGGTCTTTGTTTTTAGATTATAGCTTAGTTGACTATTTTACGAGACAGTATGTGAAACATCAGTTTTTTTTCAATATGGACTTGTTCCGGTTGTTAGAATTAGTTTGACAGTTGACAGTAGTCATGAATTTGCTTATGCGTTTATAAGAACGCCTGGAAGTTCCAAATGACCAAAAAGATATTGCCTCCTGATATGTGATATATCAGTGGGGATTTCTAGGATATTTAAGGTCTATAATATCTTTAAATTAACACACTTCTTCATTAAACCGTTACCTAGTATTGTGACGCAACTTTCCGGGGGTAAAGTATTTGTCATTTCGAAAAGAAACCGAGTAAACTCCACTAGCCTACATTTCAGAGAAGAGATAATTTGAAAACGCTACCTATTCATAGAGAAATTCAAAATCTACCTACCTACATTTTTAAACACCGATAAAGGCAAGAGAATTATTAAAAGCCTACCTAACTAGAGGGTCAGATTTTTCAGTATATTTGTTTCACTGCCAATTAAATATTGTCTTTATGCCAATTTCAAATAAAGTTGCAATTAGAGTATATAATTTTCGATACTATTTACAACTTTATTAGAAATATAAGTAACTTTATTGGTATGTATGTAACATTGAATATTCAGTTGTAAAATTATTATACTACTGCATTTGTTTATATGTAATGACATTATATATAATTTTTAACAGAGCGGCATTATTAATAAGCAACTATGTATATTACTTGTACCAACAGTTTGCTAACTTTTATTGTATTTAACAAAGGCAATTGTTCATATATATTGTACTATATTTTTATTATTAAATATGGAGATGAGGTTTAAATATTAAACTATTGATCGTTTGGTGTTTTAAATTGCCATTGCACTTGCAAAATCCACTAGCAATACATCTAGCATCCCTTTATATTTTTCTGTCGTTTAGAACAGCCAATAATTAGAGTGAGAAAGATAGATTGCAAGCAGCACCGACCTAAGACTTTTATCAAATGGCACGCCGCGAAAACTTTGAGATAGATGACATGATATCTTTCTCGCTCTAGGAAAAGGCGGCTCTGAGTGTCAGAAAGAGATAGAGCGACGGAAGAGGTAGCCAGTAGATGATATTTCGTTTCGAATACAATTCAGCCCTTGAAATAAGCAATTTATAAACGGTATACATTCACTTTTCAAAACGGACATTTTAATTACCGTTTTAATAAATTTTAAGAGCAAAGCTGTGAGTATATTCTGATATTTAACAATGTAGTAATATTTCGTTTATATATCGGTAAAATTATATATTAAATACGAATTTTAAACACTTTCAATTACCTACAAACACTTTTAAGATGATCAATAGATGCTGGATAATTCTTACATTTTTCTTCCGATAGTAAAAAATAAAAAAATCAGCGAAAGATAATAATGTAAAAAAAGGAAAAGGCAAATAAAAATAAAATAAAACTTATAAAAATTACATAATTTATTATAATCACAGAATCGTCTCGCGCAACTCGGCGCGGCCTGTCAAACATTCACAACAATAATTAAACTCAGTTCAGTTGAATTTCCATCAATAAAATGCAACCATGTCTCTTTACCACAAGTATCAAAATAAATTAATTAACCAACGCAACGACATACGGGGGTGATACTTTTTTCTCGGTGCCAAGAAAAAAAATAAAAATACAAATACAAATTGTAATACGTTCACGAATAAATAATAGCGCTTAACACGAGAGCTATGTACAATCAAATACAAAATTGCTAATATGCTTAAGATAGAATGTGATGTCGGCTATTGTTATTGGTGTGGGGGTCGATCACGTCATGTTGACGCCCAGCGATCGACTCGCGTACTCATACACGACGTACGAGATCGAAACGGCCGGTATCACCTTGATGAAGTTAGGCGTGATGCCGCGATACAGGCCTCGCACTCCCTCCCGCTGGACTATATCGCGGAATACACCGCGCATGGTGCCCTCTGACACTTTGGCCGCTTTCTCTGTAAATATAATAAAACAAAATTATTTATATGACACAATACAAAAAATAATAAATGACGCCAACGGTAGATTTTAATACATTATAAACTTGAAATTATTAAAGTTTAGGGAGAGTGTGATGGCAAATCATTGATAAACAAATTAATTACAGTGTTATTACAAAAGAGATGTTAGACAGGGTTTTACCATGTGTTTAAGTAAACAATGTCTAAGAATATAAACCCTGTTTAAAATGATGTGTAACTTTGTCTATTACAAATCCATTTTTAGTCGTAGTCTAATTAACGCTGATTTAAACATGCAACCCGTAAAGCATTCGTTCAGTCGGCTTTCATTCGTTCATACACGTTCCATTATATGCACATCGTATACAGACTTATGATAAATTGTAATCGTAAAAAGATATGTTCAATAACGTATTAGCTAATAACTTTCAAAAGTAAAAAAGAAAGTACAAAATTAACGTTTTTAAACTGGCACTTCTATTCATAATTCATATTAGAGTAAGGTTAAGTAAAACTATAGCGAAATAATATGAAGAAACGGAACAACGACTACCTGATGCCGAACCCAACGCCGCACATGTTCACAAGCTGTGTACTGACACAGAAGCTATGCACACATGCACATGCTACGTGTGTTTATTTGCAGATCTATACTTTCATCTCGAGGATTATGTGGAATATCGTCTTAAATAATTTCATATATTTTATTAGCAAACAATCCACTAAATACGAGGGTCAAACTGAAAGTTCTTAGAACTGGCCACTTATAAACAATATAATAAAAAAATAATTCTAAAATTTGAAAATATAACTCTTTGCCAATATTACTGAGTATATATTTCATTCATTTGTCATTTGTTTTACGATTTGGCGGCAAATTGAAAATTGTCTGTGTCACGTCATCATGAATTTAACACGAGAAAATTTTCGTGCAATGATTTTTTATGACTTTCGATGTCATTTAAGTCAACAAGAAAGTTATGATAGACTACGATTGGCCTTTCACGATGAAGCCCCATCTCGTGCGACTGTTTACAACTGGTTTAATGAGTTTAAACGTGGTCGCACTAATCTCACTGATGATTTACGTGAGGGACGGCCTTCTACGGCGACGACTGAAGATAACATCTGTGTTGTGCGGCGTATGATAGAGACTGACAAAAGAGTGACCTATCAACAGATTCGGACAAGCTTAGGCATCGGTATGAGTCAAGTGCACAAAATCCTCCACGAACATTTAGCGGTCAGGAAGCTTTGCGCCCGGTGGATACCTCATAATTTGACTGAGGCTCAAAAACTCCATCGTGTGGATTGGTGTCGTAAAATGATTGAAAGATTTAACGGAGGTGACTCAAATGCTGTGTTCGACATACTAACAGGTGACGAAAGCTGGATTTACTGTTATGATCCTAAAACCAAAAGACAATCTGCTCAGTGGGTGTTTCCTTTCGAGGAGTTGCCAACTAAAGTGAAGAGAGATCGAAGTGCGGGAAAAAAAATGGTGGCCTCGTTCTTTGGAAGGATAGGTCATTTTGCAACAATTGTGTTAGAGGATCAAAAAACAGTTTCTGCAGAATGGTACACTACCAATTGTTTGCCACTTGTCTTGGAAAAAGTTCGAGAGAAACGACCTCGCAGTAGGATCCTCCTTCACCACGACAACGCCTCGTCGCACACCGCCAAGCGAACGATCGACTATTTGGCGACATCAAACGTTGAATTACTGGGTCACCCGCCGTATAGCCCCGACCTCGCGCCTTGTGATTTTTATTTATTTCCAAAAATTAAAGAAAAACTTAAAGGAAAGCGGTTTATGAATGCTGAAGAAGCGGTGGCTGCGTATCGCGATGCCATTGAAGAGACCCCTAAGGACGAGTGGGCAAAGTGCTTTTCCCAGTAGTTCCATCGCATGCAGCGGTGTATTGACGTGAATGGACAATATTTTGAAAAGATATAATAAAACTAATAACTGGCTAATGTAATCAGTTTTTGATTTTCTAAGAACTTTCAGTTTGACCCTCGTATGTACTTTCTTTTATATCAAAGTTCATTGTATTGCTCAAATGGATGAATTCGCGTTCGGTTTACTTACGCGTCCTAAAAGCTTTCCATGTAATCTAAATCGACCATATCAATATAATCTTTATCTTAAGAATATGGATGAATTTTCAACAAAGTGCAACCTATTTTGAGGTTAGACACGCGTTAAACAACTCTCAACGAGTGTTTATATTTTAAACAATGTTTAAGGGATGTTTAGCCTTAAACAGTGCCTAAATACGATTTTGTAATAGATTTTTTTTTAAACACGTGTTCAACGCGTGTTTATCTTTTTTGTAATAACACTGTTATAATCCAAGTTTAAATATCTATTTATATTTCCGGGTGTATACAAATTGAAGATGTTTATTAAGAAAATATCTTTAAAATGATTTAGCGCTATGATAGTTGGACTACTATATCAATCAATCTAAACTGTCTTGTTATTGTGAAAATCGACTATATTACGAGGGGCATTAAATTAATTCAGTGTTATTACAAAAAAGATAAACACGCGTTGAACACGTGTTTAAAAATTGTTCTATTTGAGCATTGGTTAGGGCAAAACAACCCTTAAACATTGTTTAAAATTTAAACACATGTCATGTTGACACATGATATGTTGTTTATGGAGTATCTTACCTTTCACAATATTTCACTTTAGTTTTGACTTTGATAAGAATTATGTCTTTGAATTTAAATTAAAAATGATAATTTTAGATTAAATATTTTCATTTATAAAAATTATTAACTAGTGTGTTTAAAAGATATCTTTTTACGTCTAAAATTTATTATAAGTTTGTATACAGCGTGCATAGAATTGAACGTGTATGAACGAATGAAAGCCAGTAGTACGAATGTTTCTTTACTTAGACAATGTTTAAAAATGAATTTGTAATAGGGAATATTAGACATCATTTTAAACAGGGTTTATATTCTTAAACACAGTTTAGATAAACACATGGTAAAACACTGTTTAACGTCTCTTTTGTAATAACACTGATTATCTTTGGGTAAAGATAAATTTCACATTTTGGAAGTGTAAAATATGAAAATGGAATTTGTTTAATTCGTGTCGGCATCTTTGTATACCAAATTCTACAACTAGAGTTTGGAATCCTATTAAAATTCATTTCGGAGATAAACTCGAAAAAAAATCGTCTTAAATATCAGCAGATTATCGAAAATATTTTTCTATAATATTAATCATTAGTCTATAAAATCTGTCCAGGAGCCTATTCGATGCAAACAAAAGTCTTTCCTCTTTATAATATCAGTATTAATTATAAATTACCTTGCGCTTGCAATCTCGTCCTGACGAGTGCCAGAGGATAAGAGCAGACCTGTCCCAACGTACACGATGCACTACCGCACGCCAATAGTAGCAATATGCCGGGCTGTTCATTATTAGCTTGATATCTACTAATGTACTTCTTCTTCAGAGTCTCGTAGACAGCGAGATCTATACCCGCGTACGGCACAATGCCCAATATATTTGGAATGTATCCTTTGTAGAAACATTTGAGACCTTCGCGCACATATATTTTCTTAGCTGCGTCCATAATACCGCTGTACTGTCCGGTTTTCCTTAAAGCTAATCTTGTCTTTAGCACCTCCAATGGGTAGATCACAGTCTGACTGATAGCGCCCGCCATAGCTCCGGCTATGAACCTCTCGTGTATCTCCAGAGGCTGATTTTTCCTCTCGCCTTTTATCAGCCTTTTCACTTGTTCGTATGCGGCGAACTTTAAAGCCGACTCGGGCGCAATTTTGATCACGTTAATACCGTTCCCCCTCCATAGGCCGGTTATACCGCCTTCGCTAATCATTTTTGCTAAACATTTGCTCATGTTCTCTCTTGTAGGATTAACCTGTAAGCAAGAATAAAAGAGTATGAAAATAAATAAATACAAGATAGATAGTGATTCGATAGAAAAGTATGGTTCTTAAGTCATTTTACATGCATACCAGGGAAGTTGATATTTTAGCAAAAAAAAAACTATTTGTAGCATTGGAACTGTACGCAGTATGGTATATACTTATTTTTTTAGCCAAAGGGTTTTGTAAGATTGCTGTTAATTTGGAAACAATTTTTTAGGTATGTGTTCAAACGAAGATTTTTCCAATATTCTATTATAATATTATAATAGAATATTGAATGGAAATGCTGATGTAATAATATCATTTCCATTCAAGTTTAATTTCACAAAGATTGTATAACACTGAAGTATGAAAATTATGTAAGTAGCATTTGAAATATTCTTGAACAATTTAAGCGTTACCTAAGTATTATGTGCATATTAATTGAATGTCAATCATGCCTTACACGTTTATCCATTTCAACATATTTTAGAACGTAGCCTTGTGTAGATGAGAGGTCGTAAATGAAATGCAAATGTCGTTATAACTCTGCATTTTTGGATAAAGTCCACATACAGAATGCGGAGGACTGCTGTACGCGGTTTATACTTAGATTCTAGATAAAGTTCGGTCGCCGAACAGTAGGAACAAACCAGCATTACTTGTGCACAAACGTATTACTATTACTATTACGTATTACTATTACACAGATGCATCTAGCCAATTGTGTCATAGTAAAGTAAACCTAAAGGTCAATGTACGAAAATCTATTTGACTTCTGAAATATAGTTAACATTAAGTTGCCTCTGGAAATTCACGACTGAGCACTGTACTATTAATAGGTTTTATCGCATGTTTCCATTTCTTCTAACATATCTAAAAATGCTCGGGTAAGCATCATAACTGGGGAACTACTTAAGGCATAATGGATGAATTAACTGTAATTATCAGGCGATATGATGAGTAGCTCGGTATTAAAAATTAAACAACATCCTTACATTGCTCAGATTCCAAGATGAGTAGCTAAAGCCCCGTATTATGGAGCATTTGAGACAACGAAGATACCACAACACCCCAGACCCGAGACAATATAGAAAAAAATAAACTTCTACATTGACCCGATTGGGAATCGAACCTAGAAATTGGCGTGCGAACCATTCGGCTACGGAGGTTTTCATTGCCTCGAGCTACTCTGTGCTTCGAAAGGCACGTTAATCCGTTGGTCCCAGTTGCATTTGCGGTCGTTAATACCGCATTGGGCCAGGGTGGAGGATCATGGTCCATCCTCCTTAACCATCCATAAGGAGGGCAGTGCAGTGGAGACTTAAAAAGGGCTGATGTTGAAATTTCATAACAGGAGATATGCTTCGAGAAATATTCCAGAATGTTCTACCTGTAGGAACACTTTGAGCCTGTCCAGCGGTGCTGTGCACGTCCTACTGACCGCGCCGGCTATGCCGCCCGCCATTAGATGTCGCCACCACTTGCCAGTTTGCAGTTCGCTCTGTGTGAAGTCATCTGGCACGTTCATATCCTCGCCAATGTCGAGGTACTGAAATACAAACATTCAACATTGTCAGTACAAAAATGTTTCGCAAATTTGGCAGATACTCATTACTACATAATACTCACTAATAAATAAAATTAAATTACCATTCTAAAGTATAATTGCTTAATTAATATGTTTAGACTATTTCGCCACATCTCTTAGTAACATTCTAGATAAACTCTTGTTGGATCACGGTTAATAAATAAGGGAGTAATTTGTGTTAGTGAAATAAACCTATATAACTTAGTCTGTGGAACATTATCAGTTTACTAGCTATTATGTCCAAGAGTATCATTTATTTATATAGCTTTTGGACTTCTTTATGATCATCGTTAAAACAAACGCTAACAATATAATATTTCAAGTTCAATGTACTAATGCAAAATGGCCGTATTTTATGTATTAGTAATAAATGTGCTACAAACTGAATCCGTTCGAAATATATTTCAGTGCAGAACAGGGTACTTATAGATACTTTGGTAATGTAACGAGACCAAAGTAATACCTATAACTTAAGGTTGCATTAAGGTTGTCAAACGTTAATAGTTGGCATTACATAGTTTTAATATTAAAGTAGGGCTATGAATCCATCGGAATAATTATAATGCAAATGACAATTTTCAAGATGAAATATAAAATTAGAGACCCACCCCCACTTCGCACCTATGATGAGGACTCCTCGAGAAATTCCTTACAGATAAAAGTACACCGAAATCCGAAACATGACTTAGGAACAATTAAAAGTTTTATCGACATAATGGTCCATTTACACGAGGCGAAGGTGCACAATTCTTGTAATTTTCATGAAATTATGGCATTACAATAGAGTCTTAACTACTTGCATTTTTGCCATTGCAAAAGCTATCTTGCAAGAGAGCTATTTGAAGTCCAATGTTATAAGAGCAATGTCTTCTTCACAAAATATATATATATATATATATATACATTTCAATTGCATCGGCCTCCTCTAAATTGGCCATAAGAACTGACATAGCAGGAGAGTAACTATATTATATGTAGCAATATCAAATGCATAACAATGAACCATTTGCAAACGCAAATCATTCAAATGTAAATTAGCGAAAGTAAGGGGAATTCCACCTCATTTGACATGACAATACATACCTAGCTACTAAATAAGACGACTTATAATATCGACGCTGGAAAGCAAACACGTAGTAACCCGCAAAACCAAAATGGATATTTAGAGTGGAAAATCTTTATATTTTTCCAAAAAAAAACATCGATGTATATTGACTAAGGAACACTTTATTTGTTACCATGGACATTTATAGGGATTTTTTATCGAAAGAAATAAAAGTTTTTTTGCACTGAAGAACAATTTTGGTTTTGCGGGTTACTACATGTTTGCTTTCTAGCGTCGATATGTTTGTTACTTTATCGTAAATATTTTTATGATAATATTGAATGAGAGTCTATGGTTATATATTGTTTTTGTTTTTTACATGAAGGTATTGTTTTAACATAAAGGACGATATATAATGTTATCTTTCTTTAATAATAAGACTAGAGTTTCTACGTGCTATGTTGATTCAACTAGGAGTCAAAATGAATGAATTCTTTTTACTTCTAATGGCTGAATTCATGTGGAATGTGATGCTCTACGATATTTAGTAATCGACATACGACTGGTTAAACACCTTGTTAGATTATCAGACTATATACTTATCATGACTTTTTTTCAGAGAGGACAATATACAAAATACATTAAACAATTGTCACGGTATTTCACATGTTCATAGATCTCCTCTTCAGATGTTTTAACGCCATTCAACGCCTTCCTTGGTTTAGTTTTCGCCGTCCATATTTTTGTTTTGAAGGTAATATGGTCAGCCTGTTATTTTATTTCTACTATTAGTATGTCTAATTCCACATATAAAACTTTAAGATTGTACGATTCAGAATAGTTAGGCAAAGAATAATTATACAATCTTTGTGTACCTTTGAATCCCTAAACTGGCATAACATCCTGTTGTTCCAATCCACACTCAAAGCCAAGAAGGCGAAATAACTATTCCAGTACATCATATCTTTTTTTTATACAGATTTGTTTGAACAAAAATTTACAAAATTAATAAGTGCCGCTTCACCGTTTATTAAAAATGAAGCGGCACTTGTGTAAAATTTACTTGTATAAGTAATCGGTCATTTTAGACATTTCAAGTCAATTTGACCTTTTTAAATTTTCTCATTTACAGCAAAGGCCTTTGTAAATTGATGATTTTATTGCGGACTCTTTGGTTGACTGTCGCTAGGCGCGTATATGTCGTAGTCAGATCGTAGAATTAATCGTTTTATTTAGTGCCAGTCCTTTTGACGAAATGGTTGTAGGTATTTTATAAAATGGCAAATACCCATTGCCTACACTGGTGTATTTATGGTATAAATAGCTGAATGAAAAACGGTTTTCGAGTAATGAATTAAAAATAAATGACACGAACGGCATTCTGTTTCACGCATTCTCCTTATACACCAATAATTTACTTTCAATTTCTTTTGGTTCAAACAAAATAACGTCAAAATAAGTTGTAACAATCAAAACGTGAATATATAAAGTTTTCTCTATTGAAAAAAAAATCACAAAGTTGCCCTCAAAATTCACACGTAATGGTTGCTAGTAATTAATTAACAACAGCTTTTGGCGCAAAATTCTCTATCGTCTGTCTTTTTTATTGAGTGCAATGAGGTAGACGTGATAGACTTTTATCTTTACGACCTGCCCAGTGACTAAATAGGACATTAGTATTGGCAACTTCATGAAATTATCAGTCACATCAAAAAATGATCGATTCTAAGATCTGTTCGCGACATGATGCATGCGATTTAACGTGTGTTTGTAATGAACACAATGCTCTCATTATCATATCGTATTCCGACGCTGACGGGCTGACGAGACGATGCTAATGGCACGTGAACATTACATGACGAAACCGATCACGACGCTAGCTGAAGTGTAAAACGTTTATAAATAATATTAGCTTTCGCTTGCAAAGCAAAGACCGCGTGTTAAAGTTAAAATAAATAAACGTTTATCTCAACAAGGGCCTAAATACAAAGCGTTTTGTTTTTATCTTTGACAGTGACAAAGTATACAAAATTTTATTCCTTCATTTAACCTCATTGTATGTCGTTTCCAAGTAAACTAAAAAAATAGGGCCGAATGGTTTAGGCGTGAAAACGCCGTTGCCTATCTTAGCATATGTAGATTCACAGTGTATTAGAACGATAGGGGATGTGCACTCTATCTTTCTTACTCTAGCAAATGGCGATTCTGGGCGACAGAACAGGATAAGGGTATCGGAGAAAGGCGATACTGTGCTTTCAGATTAAACTTAATCAAGTGGAATGGATCATTGAAAAATGTGATCAATAAATATGAGCTTAAATTATAGCGTGTTTTATTGTTCTTTTCATTATACTAAAAGCACTTTTCTATATAACTTTGTAATACTTTTGATGCTACTGCATATGTTTTTAATAAGGGTTTTGATCAAGTGAAATGGGTTATTAGAAATTGTGGCCAGTAAATATTTTTTAAGTTTAAATAATATACTGTGTTTCATTGTTGGTTTCATTTTACTAAAAGCCATTCTCTATATAACGTGCTTTGATTATAATGGATTAGTTAAGTATACTGAACAATTTAACTAAGGGAGCAACACTGAATTCATGAAAAAATATCAGTTGTTTCAAACAACATTGTAATCGTTGACAGTATGAAACAGCTGATTATTTTGTCCTGAAAATTTGGAGGGGAGGGATTTCTGCAGTCTTTCTATGTGGGTTTGATTATCGTCGCAAACTTCTGTTGTAGAAACCACAAACTTAGGAAATTGATACACACCCTAACTTAAAAATACCCCCTGGCTAGAAGCAGAAAATAGCTTTGTAATATTATAAATTTTTAGAAGATTTTCGAGTCCATGTCCTCTATGATCACACTGATTTGGTCTTCAGAGGTTAATTTAATAAAGAGAATGGGGATATCACGCTATCTGGCGACATGTGCCATGAAAATATGAAATCACCTATCGCTAGACCTTTCTTTGGGTAAATTACTCAACACACACAATCGAGTTCGGTAGATCCGCTTTGTTCAGATTTGAATGTCACCCTAGATAGAGAGTGTTAACTCGGAAGATATCCAACGAGGTCATATAAAAAGACCTTCACAACAGCTGTGTGAGCGTCAAAGAATGAGCTGCCTACGTCGATCTTAAAAAAAATTGAAAGGCACTGACCTTTACTTAACTGGCCTTGAAGACTGTGCAACATTGAATAGGAATTGAAATGTCACTGATAAAACTTGAATTATTGTTTGACAGATGTACCTGTTACAACTTTTTCTTTTACACAAACTTATAATTTTGATTGGCTGGATTATAATCTCATGCTGTGATTGCAAAGTTTAAGCAATAAGGGTGACATAATATTCGGGAGAAGCGTTGGTCACATTCGTCATTAGCATTCACTAATTCCCACATGATGTGCGTGGCGGACTTATTTTGGATCTATCCATGATTGATCAATCTTGAATTTGACTATTTGTAAATGAATTTAACGTAATAAGCGCTTTCGGTCTGCAAACAACTTTCCCTAGAGTTCATCCAATGAATGAATGGTAATCAAAATATTATCTTAATTCTCCGTGCTTCGGAAGGCACATTAAATCCACCGATCCGCACAGGGCCCGCGTTGTGGGTTATGGTCCATTCTGCCTACTCACTTCGATTGAACCAATTGGGAAGGCCTGTGCTCCAGCAATGGGGACATTAATCATCATCACCAGCCCTTTTTACGTCCCCAGTGCAGGGGCTCAGGCCTTCCTTATGGATGGTTAAGGAGGATGGGCCATGACCCTCCACGCTGGTCCAATGCGGATTGGAGGGTATTAACGACAACAAATGCAGCCGGGACCAACGGCTTAACGTGCCTTCCGAAGCACGGAGTACCTCGAGATAATAGTTTTTTGGTCACCCATC